GAGGACCTTCTTGCAGCAACACCAGAGGCACTCCAAGTGGCCAGATACTGGTCAAAGGACATTTAATCAACTACCAAGTTTGCAAAATTTGTGGGTTTTTTATCTGTTTGTTTGTTTTGTTCTGTTAGAAATGTAATACAATGGTCTGATTGCTGATGACACAACAAATAAATACTTCCAGCTTCTTTCAGAAGAATAATGCCACAGGAATACCAATAGGCAGAATAGAATGTTAGTCATGACTTGAATACTGAAATCACAGACGACTTTAGTGAATAGGGTATCTGGAGACGGTAAGTCTTATACGGTTGTTGCTTGTACCCATTGAACCAGAGGCTGGTATAATCAATAGCACAGTTAAAAAAAATACCTTCTCATGATTGTATTGTTTAATTGCTGAGAACGTTATGACTGCAAAATTATCACTAATGTCTGCGAATGTCATTTAGTGGAGGACATAGAATTTCAGAAGAAAATGAGCCAAAGCTTTAAATTGTGTAGATCATGAAAAACGATGGAACGCCTAGACAAATGTGTGTGCCACAACTTTTGATTGTCCCTATACTCAGGCCAAGAGGCTATTGTTAGGACCAAATATGGAGAAATTAAATGGTTTCCAATAGGCAAGAGGATCAGGCAAGGTTGGATTTTATCAACCCTTTTGTCTAACTTGCATGCTGAACATAATATACATAAAGGAGGAATATAAACTTGGAGGAAGAAGATGTGGACACTGGAAGAAGAAACATCAACAGTTTAAGATATTATTTTTATTTATTTATTTATTTATTTATTTATTTATTTATTTATTTATTTACAGCTTTTATATTCCACCCCTCTCACCCTGCAGTGGACTCAGGGCGGATTACAGTATACACATATATGGCAAACATTCCATGCCAATTTTTGACATACAAACATATACAGACATAAAAAGGTAAAGGTAGTCCCCTGACATTAAGTCCAGTCATGTCTGACTCTGGGGTGTGGTGCTCATCTCCATTTCTAAGCCAAAGAGCCAGCGTTGTCCGTAGACACCTCCAAGGTCATGTGGCCGGCATGACTGCATGGAGCGCCGTTACCTTCCCGCCGGAGCAGTACCTATTGATCCTTTTCTGGCCGTTATACAGATATAGACAGAGGCTATTTAACCTTTTCTGGCCGTTATACAGACATAGACAGAGGCTATTTAACCTTTTCTGGCCACCAGGGGAGCTGTCGCTTTCATCATCCATCTGTGACGCTGATGAAGCACTTCCGCATTCCCCGCATGCTTCCCCGCTGGAATGCTTTGCTGGAGTCTTCTTTATGGCCTCATAAATCAGTTAATTTAGCCTCCCCACACTTTAAGGTGGTACCTAATTTTCCTACCTGACAGATGCAACTGTCTTTTGGGTTGCAAAGGTCGACAACAGGCTACACACAATTGGTTGGAAACCCACTCCAACCCGAGCTGGCTTCGAACTCATGACCTTTTTGGTCAGAGTGATCTTAATGCAGCTGACACTCAGCCAGCTGCGCCACAGTCCCAGTGCCAATATGAATATGACACCATACTAGCAGAAAATAGCAAAGACTTAGAACAATTACTGAAAAAGTCAAGGAAGAAACAGCAAAGGCAGATTTACAATTCAACATTTACTCAAACAAAATAAGGTCTACAGATGATACACATAAAATGCAGACAATAAAATAGTATGAAATTTCCCATATTTGGCTCAATTATTAATCACAACAAGAATAGAACTTGGAGGGACAGGTATGAAAAAATAGGCAAAATTCTGAAATGTAAAGGTGTGTCATAGAATACTATTTCCCATTTCTATGTATGGTTGTAAAGGCTTGACTATGAAGTAAGCTGATAAGAAGAAAATCAACTCATTTGAAATTTAGTGCTGAAGAATTCTACAATACGTTAGTGCCAGAAATCCCCAAATAAATAGGTCCTAGAGCAAATCAAGCATGTCCTCTCCCTAGAAATTGATACTGTTGTACTTTGGCCATTTGATAAGAAGGCAAGACTCACTGGGAAGGATGGTAATGCTTTGTACAAGAGAACAACCATATTACAAATGGATAGATTCAATCAAGGAAGCTAACCAAGGCCCCGAGTATGTCAGACTAGAGCAGGGTCCTGTTAGTGATAGGGTGGCACAGAAGTCTCTCATTCATAAGGTTGTAATAATTTGTATCATCTGTATCTCGGAATTCAAAAACACAAGAGACATTCATTTGATTTCCAAACTGTATAAACTGTTGTTAAAATATGAAATGAAGGACGTACAGGTGAAGGTTTGTATGGTTAAGTGGGTACAAAACATGGCTAAACAAATACAACTGGAAAAGGTCTGGACAGCAAATTATTACAAAATATTTCACAAATTTTATTTATTTATTTATTTATTTCGAGTATTTCTACCCCGCCCTTCTCAACCCCCAAGGGGGGACTCAGGGCAGCTTACAACCGGCACAATTCGATGCCACATTCAACAAAGTAAAAAAATATAACAATTATAAATAGTTAAAACATTCAAATAATACAATAACAACTAAAAAGAAATGCCAATCTAGTGGTCAACGTTCACCGAGTTCTAAAATCCATAAGTCCATTCAGCATTATCATTGTCATTATCATAATCCTTTCCAAACTCTGGTCATCATTGCCATGTTGGTCTGCCAGATTACCCAAAGGCCTGGACCCATATCCATGTTTTCAACTTCCTTCTGAAGAAGAGGAGGGATGTTGATGACCTAATTTCCCCAGGAAGTAAATTCCACAGGCGAAGGGCCACCACCGAGAAGGCCCTGTCCCTCATCCCCACCCAGTCTCACTTGTGATAAAGGTGGGGCCGAGAGCAGGGCCTCCCCAGAAGATCTTAAACTCCGAGATGGGATGTAGAAGGAGATACGTTCGGACAGGTACGCCACGGTAGTCCACGCTCTGGTTACATCCCGGATTGATTATTGCAACGCACTCTACGTGGGGTTGCCCTTGAAGACTGCCCGGAAGCTTCAGATGGTCCAGCGCTCGGTGGCCAGGTTGCTAACGGGAGCGGCACTCAGGGAGCATACCACTCCTCTGCTGAGCCAGCTCCACTGGCTGCCAATCCGCTACCGGGCACAATTCAAGGTGCTGGCTTTAGCCTATAAAGCCCTAAACAGTTCTGGCCCTGCTTACCTCTCCGAACGCATCTCCACCTATGAACCGACGAGGACGTTAAGATCGTCCGGGGAGGCCCTGCTCTCGGTCCCGCCTGCGTTGCAGGCGCGGCTGGCGGGGACGAGGGACAGGGCCTTCTCGGTGGTGGCCCCTCGGCTATGGAATGCCCTACCCGTAGACATCAGGCAGGCCCCTTCGTTGCTGGAGTTCCGGAGGAAGGTCAAGACGTGGCTCTATGAACAAGCGTTCGACCAACAAGGCAACTGAACTCATGAAGACGGTATAAATGAACAAAGGAATGGTAGAAGGATTATGAGAACGAGGAATCTGATTTTACTGAGGCGTTGATGACTATGTTGTGTTGTCTTGTATTGTCTGTCGTGTATGTTGTGTTTTAACTGTTATTGTTATATAAATTGCATTGTAAACCGCATTGAGTCGCCGAGTTAGGCTGAAAAATGCGGTATAAAAATAAAGCAAATAAATAAAAATAAATAAATACGCTGGGCTGGAGCCGTATAAAGATTTAACTACCGTACAAAGATTTAACTAAACCTCTACAAGCTATTATGAACTCACTAAAAGAAGGGAAAATACCTGAAACATGGAAAGATACATATATAACACAAATACCAGAGGAAGATAGAGACCCTCTACAACCAAAGAACTACAGACCTATATCACTTTTGACTGTAGACCATAAACTTTGTATGTTTATGCTAGCAAACAGATTGAAAAATATTTTAAATAATTTCAAAAGACCAAGCCATCTTTTACCAAATAGACAAATTAAACAGAACACAAGATGCTTTATTGAACTATTTGATAAATATCCCAACAGGAAAATAGCAATACTCTTTCTAGACATAGAAAAAGCATTCAACAGCTTAAACTGGGACTTTATGGTGGAAGTTCTGCAAGCACATGATATGGGAGACCAATATATAAAAATAATAAGAACTATATACAAAGACCAATGTGCACAGTTGATAATTAATGGGAAGAAAACACAAATAATCCAAATAACGTATTGTCGAAGGCTTTCATGGCCGGAATCACTGGGTTGTTGTACGTTTTTCCGGGCTATATGGCCATGTTCTAGAGGCATTTTCTCCTGACGTTTCGCCTGCATCTATGGCAAGTATCCTCAGAGGTAGTGAGGATCCTCACTACCTCTGAGGATGCTTGCCATAGATGCAGGTGTAACGTCAGGAGAAAATGCCTCTAGAACATGGCAATATAGCCCAGAAAAACCTACAACAACCCAATCCAAATAATGCCACTCCTGTTTGTTATGTGGATAGAGATGATTATAAAACAAATAAATGAGAACAAAGAGATAAAGGGTGTTTGGGCAGCAGGAAAAGACTACAAGATTCGAGCCTTTGCCGATGATATTGTCCTGCCTTTGGAAAACCCCAATGACTCAAATAATATCCTGACAAACTTCTTAGAACTAGCTAGGTTAAAGATAAACAAAGAGAAAAGGATGGTGGGAACTTTTAACAAAGAACCTGACAGAAAAACAAGGATTAAAAGAAAATACAGAATACAGTATTGCACAGAAAGCCAAATACTTTGGAATATAGATTACAATGAAGAATTCAAAGCTATTAAAAATAACTACAAAAGGTTGTAGAGAGATATAAGGAAAGAACTAGCGGAATGGGACAAATGAGGGCTCTCCCTACTAGGGAGGATATCACCCATTAAAATGACATTCCCAAGATGTTTTCCCTCCTTGACTACACATACTGCTCTTTTCAGGCCTGATTTTGGATTATTTTTTTAACTTTTTTATCTTTGATTCCCAAACATATTTTCTTTTCCAAAGTCTTACCGTGAACATATGGTTTCTTTTTGTGTGCCCCAGACAAATGGTCTCTTGAGTTTATCCAACTCAGTTAAAACGACGGGGCTAGGAGATGGGCGATGAGCAGAGTGAGGAAGAAATATGAGGAGGCAGGGCAGAAAAACACTGAAATGCACACTGGCTGTTAAAAATAAAATGTGCACTCAGCAACGTGGGTCAATTTATAGAAGGTTGTCCTTTCGTGATATTTATTTAACATGCTATGGCTGGCGCAACATTTAACAGAGCTAGGGAATAACTGCTGAATCATATTTCAGTAAAAGACAATAGTATTGGCTAGATGGAGTTTTCAATGGGGTTATTATTTTGAAATAAACTTGATTGCTTTTTTCTAATCTTTATATTAGCCATGCAAAATCTGTTTACTAAGTATCTTCTAGACTTGTTTCTTTTTGCATTAATAGATAATGGTAACAGAACAGATATCTTTATCCAGTATGGAGTATTCTTCTCCATTTTTTACAAAATGGTCACTTCCATGAACCTCAATGGGATTATTTATTTATTTATTATTTGAACTTATATGCCGCCACTCCCCTGGGGCTCGGAGCGGCTTACAAAAACAGGCTAAAATTGAACACAATTTAAAACAATTTAAAACAATTTAAAAACAATCAGAGATCAAAGGCCCGTTGAAATAGATATGTCTTACATGCCCTGCGGAAAGCTGATAAATCCCGCAAGGCACGGACTTCAAGTGGCAGAGTATTCCAGAGTGATGGTGCCACTGCTGTGAAGGCTCTGCGTCTGGTTGCTGTTAGACGCAAGGTCTTGACACTGGGAATTTCCAATAGATCTTGGTCCTCAGAACGGAGGGATCTCTGGGGTTGGTAGGGGGTGAGGCGGTCCCTCAGGTACATCGGCCCCAGACCATGCAAGGCCTTAAAGGTGAGTACCATCACTTTGAAAGTGATCCGGTGCTCAATTGGTAACCAATGCAGCTGTAGTAAGATTGGTGTTATGTGGCATCTCATCGGAATTCCCGCAAGAAGCCGAGCAGCTGCGTTTTGTACCAGCTTGAGCTTCCGGATCACCGACAGAGGAAGGCCAATGTAGAGGGCTTTACAGTACTCCAGTCTTGAGATGACCGTAGCCTGGATCACCGTAGCTAGGTCGTCCCTGGACAGGTAGGGGGCCAGACGTATAGCCTGCCGCAGATGAAAGAAGATGGTTCTGCTAACGGCGGAGACCTGGGCCTCCATCGTCAGCAGAGGGTCCAAAAGGATTCTCAGACTCTTTACCAATGATGACGGGTATAGCGCCTCTCCATCCAGGGTAGGCAGCTGGATATCCCCACTGCCTGGTTGACCCAGCCATAGGATCTCCGTCTTTGCTAGATTCACCCTCAACCTGCTGGCATGCAACGATCCAGTAACGGCCTCGAGGCACTGATGGAAACAATCGGGTACAGAGTCCGGTCGGCCTTCCATCTTCAGCACAAGCTGAGTGTCATCAGCGTACTGGTAACACTCAAGCCCAAAACCTCGAACCAGCTGAGCAAGTGGTCGCATATAGATGTTAAACAACAGAGGGGAGAGAATGGCCCCCTGAGGAACCACACAAGATAGAGGGGACCTCTCAGAGATTAGGCTTAGATGAACTAGTAGCTAATAGTTACAACTCAAAGGCAGTGTATTGGTGTAAGGGAAGATGACTTGCCTGATGCCAAAATAATTAATACATGAAGGCTTTCATGGCCAGAATCACTGGGTTGTTGTAGGTTTTTTTGGGCTATATGGCCATGGTCTAGAGGCATTCTCTCCTGACGTTTCGCCTGCATCTATGGCAAGCATCCTCAGAGGTAGTGAGGTCTGTTGGAGTATGAAGTGGTCTGAGTCCTTGATGTAGTGTGTAGTGAGCCCAATATGGCTTTGTAATTGTGCAGCAAGAAATTTTGCAGCAAGAAAAAAAATTACCAGCTGTTAGGATGTCTGGGAGTTGAAGGCCAAAACATCTGGGGACCCACAGGTTGAGAACCACTGATCTAATAGCTCTTGATTCCAGTGTACCCTATATGGTTTCACCAGCTTCCCACTAGTTTTTCACTTCTTTACCTTTTTCCATTGTATGCAGCTTGGAAAAAAATATTTTCTTCATTTTCTGTCTTTGACAGTTCATCCAGCTGATGTTCACACTGACAGCTGTCAAAATCTTCGCTGACTGAGCTTTCTACAAGCTCTGATTCACATCTTTGATCTCTGCACTCTGTGTTCTTCTGCAAGCAACCATCAAGAGGCTCCCTGTTGTTTTATGGACTTCCAAAGTGAATAGACTTCCCTTCAGCTACTGTTCCTTTCACTGTGAATTACAACTACCTTTGAAACTGTTTCCATCGTTCCAAGCCTCAGAATTGTTTGTTATATTTACTTTTCCTTCTTTCAAGCTTTTGTCTAGAAAATGGGGGGAGGGGGTTCCCTATTTGTCCGATTGGCTCTCAACCAAACCCATTTTTTGTCAAGATCTGTCTCAAAAGATTCTGAACACTGGTGATTTCTGCCTGTCTAGTGATTTCACCACCAGCAGCCTTTTTGTGACATGCTCTATAAAATGAAAGATCTAGCCTCTGGTGTTCAGGAAGAGATAGCGCTTGTATTCCTCAGGGATTGGGGCAACCGTCATAATCTTGTCATCTAACATAGACCAATCTGCCTTTCTGAAGTTGAATCGAACTTCCTGAGCTCTTACAGCTGGAAACAACTGGCATATGATCGGCCAATGCTGTGTGTTTAACGTTGGTGATCCCACTGATTGATGCACAATACTGTCGCTCACAAGCAGGTTTGGGTTATATCCTCAATACCATCTCATACTGTTGTAGGATGGTGGGAACTTATGATCATGAATAAGCAATAGTTTATGCAATTCAGCCCAGGAAAAAACAGCCTCTCCATTTTTATACTCCTGTGCATAGCCCCCTACAGCTATTAAAGTCACCAATTACTACCGCCCTTTGATGCCTATCAAAGTTCTCAGGAGAGGAGAAACAAAACTCTTCATTTGGGGGCTTATATAGAGAGGTAATTGTGATATTACTAAGCTCTACTGTTATAACCTCTCTATCAGGCATGGGCAAACTTAGGCCCTCCAGGTGTTTTGAACTTCAACTCCCATAATTCCTAACAGCCTATCAGCTTTTGTAGAAGTCCAAAATGCCTGGAGGGCCAAAGTTTGCCCATACCTGCTCTACATTGTTTTCTCCAGTATTGTGGGCACTGCTGACTTTGAAGCTTAGTTTTACAAAGCCAGAACTTCCATACTGCACATGTGGTCTTTCCACCACTAAGATCATTCCTGGAACTTTTGGTCATTTCTGTTGTTTATCTCTGTGTGTTTCTTGGACACAAAATAAATTTTGCAGCAAGAAAAAAAATTACCAGCTGTTAGGATGTCTGGGAGTTGAAGGCCAAAACATCTGAGGACCCACAGGTTGAGAACCACTGATCTAACTGAGCCAAGATAAATGTGATGTTTCTTGGACACAAAACATCACATTTATCTTGGCTCAGTTCATAAAGCAACAGTTCATTGGTAGCTGACATGCTTTTGATGATAATTGAGATTATTGTCAAAGCTGGTCCTGAAAAGGTTTGCTTGTTTGTATACACCAGCCATTGTATACACAGTGTCATCTGGACGTGGATGATGTCCAACTCTGTCACTCCTTTCTACCTGTTACTAAGGAGGCTGTTCAGGTCCTGAACCGGTGCTTGGCCGCTGTTACGGTCCAAATGTCCAAATCTGTCACTCCTTCTCACCTGTCACCAAGGAGGCTGTCCAGACCTTGAACCGGTGCTTGGCCGCTGTGTCGGACTGGATGAGAGCTAACAAATTGAAACTGAATCCAGACAAGACAGAGGTACAACTGGTCAGTCACAAGGCCGAACAAGGCATAGGGTTACAGTCTGTGTTAGATGGGGTAACACTCCCCTTGAAGATGCAGGTTCGCAGCTTGGGAGTGATCCTGGACTCATTGCTGAGCCTGGAACCCCAGGTCTCAGCGGTGGCCGGGAGAGCTTCTGCACAATTAAAACTTGTGCCCCAGCTGCACCCGTACCTGGAGAAGTCTGATCTGGCCATGGTGGTCCACGTTCTTGTTACATCCCGAATAGATTACTGCAACGCACTCTATGTGGGGTTGCCTTTGAAGACTGTTCGGAAACTTCAGTTAGTCCAGCGGGCGGCAACCAGATTACTCACCAGAGCGTCATACAGAGAGCATACCACCCCTCTGCTATGTCAGCTCCACTGGCTGCCGATCCAGTTCCGAGCACAATTCAGAGTGCTGGTTTTGACCTACAAAACCCTATACGGCTCCGGTCCGGCGTACCTGCCCGAATGCATTTCCCTCTATGTCCCACCTCAGAATCTGAGATCATCTGGGGAGGCCCTGCTCTCGACCCCACCTCTGTCACAAGTGAGGCTGATGGGGACAAGGGGCAAGGCCTTCTCAGTCGTGGCCCCTCACCTGTGGAATTCGCTCCCGGGGAAGATCAGACCAGCAACATCCCTCCTCTCCTTTAGAAGGAAATTAAAAACATGGTTATGGGACCAGGCCTTCGGGCAACCTGGCAGCTAAGGACAATGGACGACTAGAATTAACAGGACTGACAATGTGGAATTGAAACTATGGACTATGAGACGGCGAAAGCTGAATGCTAAACTGGTTTATTGACGTGTTGTAAAACTGAGAACCGATCGTTTAATTGTTTTTAACTGTTTAATTGCTGCTATACTGTTTTTATTGTTGTATTGTATTTATTGTTGTATTGATGCTGGCATCAAATTGTGCCTTTGTAAGCCGCTCTGAGTCCCCCCCCGGGGTGAGAAGGGCGGGGTAGAAGTGTCTGAAATAAAAAATAAATAAAACACAGGCTCTATATAGGCATTTAGCTTTGTGGGGGGTAAGTTCTTTCCAGTTAATTATTTTTTGAGCGGAGAACATAAATTGGATTGTTAGGTGTCTCGTGTCCAAATTTGGTGTCAATTCCCCCAGTGGTTTCTGAGTTCTGTGAATAGCACAAACGAACATTACATTTTTATTTATATAGATTATCAGATAGATAGATAGAAGATTGTTATTATTATTATTATTATTATTCGCCATTGAACGTTTGCCTTTTTATGTGTTGTAAGCCACCCTGAGTCCCCTCTGGGGAGATAGGCAGAGAAGAAATAAAGTTTTAATTCATTTACTCCACAAGGATGATAAAAACATCAAATCATCCGGGTGTCTCCTGGGCAACGTCCTTGCAGAGGGCCAATTCTCTCACACCAGAAGTGACTTGCAGTCACTCCTGACACATGCGCCTTTCACCTTAAGAACAGACAAGCATCCCAAGCTCTCAGGATTACCTGGGAAGGAATCCCACTGGAGCATTGCAGCGCACCCAAATACCTGGGAGTCACTCTGGACCGTGCTCTGACCTACAAGAAGCACTGCCTGAACATCAAGCAAAAAGTGGGTGCTAGAAACAACATCATTTGAAAGCTGACTGGCACAACCTGGGGATCACAACCAGACACAGTGAAGACATCTGTCCTTGCACTATGCTACTCTGCTGCTGAGTATGCATGCCCAGTGTGGAACACATCTCACCACACTAAAACAGTAGATGTGGCTTTTAATGAGACATGCTGCATTATCACAGGGTGTCTGCGCCCCACACCACTGGAGAAATTACATTGCTTAGCCGGTATTGCACCACCTGACATCCGCCGGGAAGTAGCAGCCAATAGTGAAAGGACCAAGGCAGAGACATCTCCAGCTCATCCCCTGTTTGGGTATCAGCCAGCACATCAACGACTTAAATCAAGACATAGTTTTCTTAGATCTACAAAGACACTCGCTGGAACACCCCAGCAAGCGAGAGTCCAAAAGTGGCAGGCCCAAATCCAGCACCTCAATTCATGGGTGATACAAGATGAGAGACTCCCCCCTGGGCACACAGGACTGGGCGACTTGGAAGGCGCTGAGCAGACTGCGCTCTGGCACCACGAGATGCCTCCTCGCTCTCCAGGCCCTCTCTGCAGGGGCTTCGGGGCCGGCCTGGCCTCCCCGGTAGAAGGGCAGAGAGGGAGAGACAGGAAGGGAGCGGCTTCCAAGGGCCTCTTGGAGGCGAGTGGCGCTGTCGGCCTGCTCCTCCACCCTTCCCTCCCTCCACAAGAGCGGCACTTCCGGGGTGAGAGAGGGCGGGACACCCCGGCTAGCCCTTCCTCTCCAGGCCGCAACATAACCATAGAGATAAGTAAACAAGCCGAGCGGAGCGGAGCTGAGGAACGTCACGCGCGCACCGGAAGCTGCGCCAAATGGCCGGCCCGGTGGCGCGTGCGCGCTGGGAGCGTGCGCAGCCGGCTTCGCCTGGCGAGGAGAGAGGGGCGCCTTTGCGCGCCGGGGCGGCGGCGGCGGAGGAGGAGGAGGAGGGCCTTGGCGTCGTGGGCCTGGCCGCGGGGCCGGCCGCAAGCGCAGGTGACGGAGCTGGCAAGGCCGCGGCGGAAAGAGGCCTGGGCGTGGGTGTGGGCTGTGGGGCGGAATGGCGGCGGGAGGCCCGGGAGTTGGGGGCGGGGCAGCAGGGCCACGCCAGGCCACCAGGCAGCTGCCCCTCGCCGCCCCGCCCACCCACCTACCCACCCACCACCCGCTTTCCTGCCTGCTTGTGATCCAGGGCAAAATCTTCATCACTCAACGGTCATCCGCCGGAGATGCCAGGCTCTGGGCCTCTTAGGACACTTCCAGACAGGCCCTATATCCCAGGATCTGATCCCAGGTTTTCTGTTTATCCTAATTTATTTGGTAGTGCGGACTCATATAGTCCAATTTAAAGCAGAAATCCTGGGATCAGATCCCAGGAGATTGGGCCTGTCTGGAAGGGCCCTGAGAGGCCATTCCACACAGCCATCTAATCCAGAATATCAAGGCAGAAAACTCCTCAATGTATTGTCAAAGGCCCCCAGGCACCATTTTCCTGTATATAGGAAGCCGAGGGAGTCTCATCCCAAATCATAGAATCGTAGAGTAAGAAGAGACCTCATGGGCCATCCAGTCCAACCTCCTGCCAAGAGCAGGAATATTGCATTCAAATCACCCCTGACAGATGGCCATCCAGCCTCTGTTTAAAAGCTTCCAAAGAAGGAGCCTCCACCACACTCCGGGGCAGAGAGTTCCACTGCTGAACGGCTCTCACAGTCAGGAAGTTCTTCCTAATGTTCAGGTGGAATCTCCTCTCTTGTAGTTGGAAGCCATTGTTCCATTGCGTCCTAGTCTCCAAGGAAGCAGAAAACAAGCTTGCTCCCTCCTCCCTGTGGCTTCCTCTCACATATTTATACATGGCTATCATATCTCCTCTCAGCCTTCTCTTCTTCAGGCTAAACATGCCCAGCTCGTTAAGCCGCTCCTCATAGGGCTTGTTCTCCAGACCCTTGATCATTTTAGTCGCCCTCCTCTGGACACATTCCAGCTTGTCAATATCTCTCTTGAATTGTGGTGCCCAGAATTGGACACAATATTCCAGATGTGGTCTAACCAAAGCGGAATAGAGGGGTAGCATTACTTCCCTAGATCTAGACACTATGCTCCTATTGATGCAGCCCAAAATCCCATTGGCTTTTTTTGCCGCCACATCACATTGTTGGCTCATGTTTAACTTGTTGTCCACGAGGACTCCAAGATCTTTTTCACACGTACTGCTCTCGAGCCAGGCATTGTCCCCCATTGTGTATCTTTGCATTTCGTTTTGCCTGCCAAAGTGGAGTATCTTGCATTTGACCCTGTTGAACTTCATTTTGTTAGTTTTGGCCCATGGTCTAGAGGCCATGGTCTAGAGGCATTCTCTCCTGACGTTTCGCCTGCATCTATGGCAAGCATCCTCAGAGGTAGTGAGGTCTGTTGGAACTAGGAAAAAGGGTTTATATACTGTGGAATGACCAGGACTCTTGTCTGCTGGAGCTAGGTGTGAATGTTTCAACTGATCACCTTGATTAGCATATGATGGCCTGGCAGTGCCTGGAGCCAACTTTTGTTGAGAGGTGATGAGATGTCCTTGTTTGTTTCCTTTCTGTTGTTGTGCTATCAGGCCATTATATGCTGTAAATGAATAAATAAATTAATAGCTCTCACACATCTCTTCTGACAGGCCTACCCAGTCAACTTTAAACCATGAGTTTTGCATTTTCATTCTGTTACAGCTGTATTTTGATCTTTGTACCATGTGTTTTACTGTGAATATTTTATAATGGTGTGTTTTGATATAGCAGTTTTGTTGCATGCATTTTATGTGGATGTGTTTTGACTGTGCCCATCTCAAGCTGTTAGGAGAAGCGAGTAACAAATACAAATTATTATTATTATTATTATTATTATTATTATTAGTGCTATTATTAGTATTCTTATTAATAGTGTTTACCATTTTCCTACCATTGTCAGAGACACTTCAGGCAAAAGTCACAAGTGGAGATTTACACATTTTAGGGCATTAGAGGCATTTGGTTAACAAGAAATTAATGTGATGAACCCTCCATCATAATTGCTGTTGCTTCAGAGACTAATTCCACCATTCAGATAACTGCAGACTTTCAAGTGAATGATTCAAAAATCTGAGGCAGTGCTTATAAGTATGGCAGGTGATAATCAAAAGGCCTTAGATTGTCGTTCTGTATACACAAAGTCAGAGCTTTCCAAACTGTGTTGTGAATTTTTTTTGTGTTGGCCTCAGAATGTAGATGCATCACTAATGTAACAAAAAAATGTCTGAATCCACATGAAATAAGCAATGCCACTAAAATGTGGAAGATTAAAAAAGGTTGAAGATGAAATGCAAGTGTCTTTATCTAATTTTCAACCAAATATTCAAAAGCCATGTTCATCCCATCAGCCTCATACATTTTATTAAAATGCTAAATGTTGTTTTGTTAGTTAGAATTTTTAAAACTCTTCCACATATTTTCATATTACTCATAAATGACAAAGATCTTATAAATGTATGTTTTATTTTACCAATAATATATATTTAAAAATATAAATGAAAGGTTTTCATGAGACATGTTATTACAGTTTACGCATGTATGTGTCCATCTATCCAGTTTGATAGTAAAACTGCGTTACTGTATCACAAAATGATTCAGTGAGGCAGAGAGTTCCACTGCTGAACAGCTCTTAGAGTCAGGAAGTTCTTCCTAATGTTCAGGTGGAATCTTTCCTGTAATTCAAAACCCATTGCTCTGAATCCTATTTTCCAGGGCAGCAGAAACCAAGTCTGCTTCCTCTTCCTTATGACAACCTTTTAGATATTTAAACATGATCATGTCTCATCTCAACCAGCATACCTAATTCTTTAAGCCGCTCCTCATGGGACATATTATTCAGACCTTTGATCATTTTAGTCACCCTCCTCTGTATACATTCCAGTTTGTCAATATCCCTCTTGAATGTTGGTGCCCAGAATTGGACGCAGTGTTATTCCAGTGAGGTCTGACCAAAGTAGCATGACATCCCTGGATCTAGACACTATACTCCTTTTGATGCAGCCCAAAATCCCATTGACTTTTTAGCTGCTGCATCACATTGTTGGCTCATGTTCAACCTCTTGTCCACTAAGACTCCAAGATCTTTTTCACATAGAGAGTATAGTAAACCACAAAAAACCTAGAGAAAAAACTGGTATAGACCAATCAGTTTAATCAACCAAGATTATAAAAATTTCACTAAATATTAGCCAACAGATTAGAAAAAAATACTGTCAAAATTATAAAGGAAGATCAGCATGGATTTATTAAAGGTAGACATATAGGACATTCGGTCAGGGATAATATGAAGGAAAAATAGAGATGAATTGGGAGAAATCTCTAAAAGAATGAAAAAATCAAGGAGTAATACACAAATTGATGGTGAAGAACAATTACTATATGGTAAGAACAATTCCAAATAAATGGCAAAGAGAAGGGCCACTTATGAATCAAATAATACAAGATATAATGAAGGGGATAAAGGAAATCCAAATGGAGAAATACAAAGAATTAGAAAGGAAATTTATACTAAAATGATATAGGACTCTAGCCCAATTCTCTGACATGATAAAAAGAATATGCCAAATGTGCTGCCATCGTGGAAAGAATAAGGGATGGTACCGACATATGTAATGGGAATGTTCAAAAAGAACTATTTAAAACGGGTCCTCAGACTAAGGCCCGAGGGCCAGATACGGCCCTCCAAGGTCATTTACCCGGCCCTCGCTCAGGGTCAACCTAAGTCTGAAATGACTTGAAAGCACACATCAACAACAACAACAAATAATAATAATAATAATAATAATAATAATAATAATAATAAACTTTATTTGTACCCCGCTACTATCTCCCAAGGGACTCGGTGCGGCTTACATGAGGCCGAGTCCAAATACAACAATACACGCAATAATAACAACAATACAAGCAAGTAAAATAAAACATGGACAATAAAATAACGAAACATTAACAATAAGACAACACACAGTAATCCTATCTCATCAGCCAAAAGCAGGCCCACACTTCCCATTGAAATACTAGTAAGTTTATATTTGTTTAAATTGTTCTTCATTTTAATTATAGTATTGTTTTAAAGTGTTTTTTGCACTACAAATAAGATATGTGCAGTTTGCATAGGAATTAATTCATGTTTTTTTGAAATTATAATCTGGCCCTCCAACATTTTGAGGGACTGTGACTTGGCACTCTGTTTAAAAAGTTTGAGGATCCCTGGTTTAAAACTATGTTTCCAGCTAGAGAAGCAGTAACCGCATGGGTGTGGAAAGATTTTAAAAAATGTGGACATTGGAGAACTGGAACAACTACTTATATGAACGTTTCATTTTTATTGCCAAAGTGAAGTACTCTATTGAAATTTGTTTTGATAGTTTTGGCCCACGTCTCTAATCTTTTAAGGTCATTTTGGATTTTGATCCTGTCCTTTGGCTTGTTAGCTATTTTTTCTACTTGGGTGCCATCTGCAATTTTGATAAGCATGCTCTTCATTCCAATTATAGAGGGTTGGCTTATCATCTGAACATTAGGAAGAACTTCCTGACTGTGAGAGCCATTCAGCAGTGGAACTCTCTGCCCCGGAGTGTAGTGGAGGCTCCTTCTTTGGAAGCTTTTAAGCAGAGGCTGGATGGCCATTTGTCAGGGGTGATTTGAATGCAATATTCCTACTTCTTGGCAGGGGGTTGGACTGGATGGCCCATGAGGTCTCTTCCAACTCTTTGATTCTATGATTCTATGGTGATGATGATGTATTCTGTCTCAATATGTCAGATTCATGGTTTTGTCATAGCTTCTGTTTGAAGTTTAAACTGCAAATTACACGTAGTATAATTCATGATGAATCTCACATTTTCTTTCGAACAATATTATCATTAGGAATCATGACAACTTCAGGAAAAGAGAACTTCCGCTTGAAGAGCTATAAAAACAAGTCTCTGAATCCTGATGAAATGCGTCGTCGGCGTGAGGAAGAGGGCCTTCAGCTACGGAAGCAAAAACGAGAGGAGCAGGTACAGTGGAATTTATTCAATGAAAATGAAAATCCTGTAACCAGCAGTGTGATCTGCTAGTTTGGATATTACCTGTTTGACAGTGGGGAAGCCTGAGGTGAAAGTAGCCAAAGAACTGTGTCTGTTATTAAACCAAGATATACACTACAGTATAATAAAGTGTCACTCAGGCTTGTGTAACAAGTAACAGTATCTTTACTTCAGTTCAAAAGTTCAAACATGGTAAACAATGTATACAACAGTCTTCATTGAATTCAGGCAGAGAACAGAGGAAATAAAACGGTCCATTTTTATTTATTTATTTATTTATTCAACTTGTATACCGCTACTCCCATTTTGGCTCGGAGCGGTTTACAGAAACAGATTAAAACAATACAATTAGCTTTAAAATAACAATAACAATAGGCAGTGAGAACAGGCATAGCCCGGATTGTTCACCCATCAAAAGCTTGCCGGAAAAGAAAAGTTTTACAGGCTTTCTGAAAAGCAAGTAGGTCTCGGATGGTTCGAGTTTCAACCGGCAAGGCATTCCATAAATAAGGGGCCACAATCGAGAAGGCTCTATGCCTAGTAGATGACAAATGATAGGTCCGGATGTTAGGGACTGCAAGCATATTTTGGTCTAATCTCTGGGGTTGGTAGAGGGATAAGCGGGCCCTTAGGTACGCCAGCCCCAGACCATATAAGGCCTTAAAGGTTAGTACCAGCACCTTGAAAGTGATTCGGTACTCAATCTGTAGCCAGTGCAGCTGTTGGAGAATTGGGGTAATACGACACCTCGCCGGCACCCCGGCGAGAAGACGAGCCGTCGCATTTTGCACCAGCTTCAGTTTCTGGATCACTGACAAAGGCCAATGTAGAGGGTGTTACAGTAGTCAAGCCTCGAGATGACCGTCGCCTGGATCACCGTAGTCAGGTCGTTCCTAGATAGGAAGGGAGCCAGTCGCCTAGCCTGACGTAGATGGAAAAACGGAGATCTGCTCACAGCAGAGACCTGGGCCTCCATTGTGAGCAGCGGGTCCAATAAGACACCAAGACTTTTTACAGAAGATGACGGACGTAGTGTCTCACCATCCAGGGTAGGCAGCTGGATCTCCCTCCCATCTGGACAGCACAGCCAAAGGATCTCCGTCTTTGCTAGATTCACCCTCAGCCTGCTGGCACGCAACCATCCAGTAACGGCTTCAAGCACTGATGGAAATTTTCGGGTACAGAGTCCAGCCAGCCCTCCATCCTTAGAATGAACTGAGTGTCGTCAGCGTACTGGTGGCACTCAACCCCAAAGCTTCGCACCAGTGAAGCAAGTGGTCGCATATAGATGTTAAATAACAGAAGAGGGAGAATGGCTCCCTGCAGGACCCCGCATACTAGCGGAGACCTCTTGGAAACCATCCCTCCCCTCAGGAAGATATAAAAGAAAATCTCAGACAGGTCACATTACAACTCTTGTCCCCCTGTATAGAATGCACAGAAGGAGAATTAGATTAGGAAATTGACCAAACTTACAGGATATCAACAAACTATGCCAAAAATAATGTAACTCCAAGAAATATAATAGTCCAATTTACAAAAAAAGAGAATTAAAGACAAAATTCTCTGTAAAAATAACAGAAAACCCATCTACCATAAGGGAACAAAAGTTGTGATTCTCAAGGAATTTCCCCAGACAACCTTAAACAGAAGAAGGAAATACTTCTTCTTAACAAAAGAATTTAAAAAGCGCTAAATTAGATTTTTTTGGGAAAGGCAAGAGGGGGTAATGGTTACCTATAAAAAGGAAAGGCATTGGCTGACCTCGGAGGAGAAAGCAAAAGTCTTCTACGATAAGCTAATGAAATAAAGTAAGAAAGACCTCAAAGAACCAATGGTATCAGCAGCAAGCCGGAGACAGCAGCCAATCAGAACTCTGGCCCCTGGCATGCTCAGCCAATCAGCTGCTGACCTTTTCAAATCCTCACAGAATTTTAACTGTCATTCTCTTTCAATACGTTCTCACTTCCTAAAAGTACCTGGCTTAGTACATATGTTATCTATGTGTCCATTACTAGCTTAGAATGGAATTTCTTCTAGATGCACAGTTCAACAAACTTTCTAGCTGGCTGTTCAGATGGGTCAGTAACCAAGCAGATTAATGTGATTTTCAAATCAGATCATAGAATCATAGAATCAAAGAGTTGGAAGAGACCTCATGGGCCATCCAGTCCAACCCCCTGCCAAGAAGCAGGAATATTGCATTCAAATCACCCCTGACAGATGGCCATCCAGCCTCTGCTTAAAAGCTTCCAAAGAAGGAGCCTCCACCACACTCCGGGGCAGAGAGTTCCACTGCTGAATGGCTCTCACAGTCAGGAAGTTCTTCCTAATGTTCAGATGGAATCTCCTCTCTTGTAGTTTGAAGCCATTGTTCCGCGTCCTAGTCTCCAAGGAAGCAGAAAACAAGCTTGCTCCCTCCTCCCTGTGGCTTCCTCTCACATATTTATACATGGCTATCATATCTCCTCTCAGCCTTCTCTTCCTCAGGCTAAACATGCCCAGTTCCCTAAGCCGCTCCTCATAGGGCTTGTTCTCCAGACCCTTGATCATTTTAGTCGCCCTCCTCTGGACACATTCCAGCTTGTCAATATCTCTCTTGAATTGTGGTGCCCAGAATTGGACACAATATTCCAGGTGTGGTCTAACCAAAGCAGAATAGAGGGGTAGCATGACTTCCATAGATCTAGACACTATGCTCCTATTGATGCAGGCCAAAATCCCATTGGCTTTTTTTGCCGCCACATCACATTGTTGGCTCATGTTTAACTTGTTGTCCACGAGGACTCCAAGATCTTTTTCACACGTACTGCTCTCGAGCCAGGCGTCACCCATTCTGTATCTTTGCATTTCATTTTTTCTGCCAAAGTGGAGTATCTTGCATTTGTCACTGTTGAACTTCAGATCTATGACAACAAACTAATTGACCCAGCACATTTGGCAGAAGTTGTTGGGATTTAATTGTTTCCTAAAAATAATTCCCTCCTTATATCATTCATTTTTCTTTAAAAGTTTTTTTTCCTTTTCACCATTTAATTTTACTTTTTCTTATAGATAATTGCCGTTATTTTCATATTTTTTAAAGTAAAATTTTCTCTTATGTTGCAAAATATTCTGTCTGAATGATACCGACTCCTAATTCTGTTTTAGATCTGTAAGGATTTAATTCAGGGTGTAAATGTTATATTTAAGCACTCCTGTATTAATGACCAGTAACGACAAGAACTGTATATGTGTATGGGTATGTGGGCAACTCTTTGAGACATAGTTCAAAATCAGTACCCTGCCTGACTGTCCTGCTTGACGATCATAGGATATAGTCATAGAAGCAAAGAATCTTGGAGTTGAAAGAGACCCTAAGAGCCCTTCTGTGCAATCTATTCTGCCATGTAGGAACACACAAACAAAGCAGGTGGTCATCAAGCTTCTTCTTAATTCCCACCACACTCTGAGGCAGCATATCCCATTGCAGAACACCTCTTCCCATTAGGAAGCTGTTTGGCAGTGGAAAAGAGCAAAAAAGAGTTCTTCTCTCTTTTTACGTACCCTCCCTATTGCTAATATAGCTAGAAACATTTTTGTCTTCCTATTGATTTCATTTCATTTCCATCCTCAAGTTATCTGATAAAGAAAAAAACACAAATATACTAACCTGCCCACTGAATTTGCGGTAGGCAGTATTGTTGTTCCAGTGTGTGATTATGATGTGAGGTTTGTTAAGTGTGCCAGTCTATATAAATGAAAATGTAATGTTCGTTTGTGGGATTAACATAAGTCAAAAACCACCGGATGAAGTGACAACAAATTTTGACATAATACACCTATCAGGCCAACGAGTGACCATCACTCATAAAAACACAGCGGAATGGACTTAAAAAAACAAAAAAATAATAAATTCATTACAATGCATGCACATAACTACATATATATACGCATACACACATATATACACAAAAACACAAATATATACACACACAAAGCACATATACACAGACTGGGCCACAGCAACGCGTGGCAGGGGACTGCTAGTATTATATAAATGTTGGTATGTTGTCAGCATTAATGTCAATGTATCTTTTTTTGTAGTTATTTAAACGTAGAAATGTTGCCACAGCTGATGAAGAAGCAGAGGAAGAAGTCATGTCAGATGGCGGGTTCCATGAAACTCAGATGAATAACATGGAAATGACTTCTGTAAGTAGCAAAAGTCCTGACTTCTCCAATTCAAACATATTTTCTTGAAAGATGTTAACATCAAATTTCTTGAACATTCATATTCTGAGCATATTTGGTGAAAAGGTGTTGCCTTCAAAAGAATACATTGCATTCAGTAAGAGATTGTCTGTTACACCTCCCATATTCCAATTCTCCTTTTTTAATGGCCATGAAAAAAAACCAGTTGTTGTGGCTTTTTAGTATATTTCTGTGGGTTTTGTTTCAGTATTTTTGTCATGTGAATGCTCAGGTACTTTGGTGTGTTTAGTTTTCCTGTAAAAAAATACTGGAGGTAAAAGGTGGAATATTTATTCCCCAGAATCATAAGACATATAAACCATATGATAAAATACAAAGACAAAAATGGTAGAGATGCATTTTCTTAATATAAAAAAACACATTACTACTACAACTGCTAGAATCCCACACTACTAAACATTACTACATACAAATCTGAAGTACAAAAGGGCTTTACATTCTCTGCCTGATGGTTTATTTTCTCAATTTTCCACGCCCATAAGAAGAAGAAGAAACAGTACATCCTTTCCCCATAATATGACAGACTTCTAGTTCAATAATGAAGGTTTGAACCCAAACCTTCATTATTTATTAGATTGCTAAAGAAATCTAATAAATAGGCCCCAGTGTTTCATGAAATTGACTGTTCTGACATTAGCCTACAGACAAGAGGAGTAGAGAAGATTCAAGGTAAAAAATTTATTGCCATCTTATATCATTTTGTTCATTTCACAGATGTGCATACATTGTGCTACAAATAACAACTGTTAGTTTGCTTCAGTAAAATAATAAAGAGTTGATTGACATCTTTAAGAGAATGTAATTATGTTTTGCTATGTTTCTTAAAGCCTGTTCTAAAATGTGTTGTCGAAGGCTTTCATTGCTGGAATCACTGGGTTGCTGTAAGTTTTTTGGGCTGTATGGTCATGTTTCAGAAGCATTCTCTTCTGACGTTTCGCCTACATCTGTGGCAGGCATCCTCAGAAGTTGGGAGGTCTGTTGGAAACTAGGAAAAATTGGGTTTATATATAACTCAGACCTCACAACCTCTGAGGATGCCTGCCATAGATGCAGGTGAAACTTAGGAGATAATGCTTCTGGTACATCGCCTTACAGCCCAAAAAACTTACAGCAACCCAGAATGTTTAATGTCCTTTATCTGCTCTTTAGACAAAGGTTTGTACATTTTAGTTGGATTGTTATATTAATAGAAACATTTCTTGAAGGCAAATATTTACCAATATTTATTTTAGAAGCACCCATATATTTAATTAACTAAATGTCTTTAATAGGACAAGTGTACTAGTAGAAGCATTTTTTGTTTATACATTTTTAGGGAATGTTTAATTTTAACGTAAAAATTAGTTTATTTGCCTAGTCCCTGATCCCTTTCCGGTTTCAGGAAATGTTGTCCCCTTTATCATAAATTGTGTAGCAGATTGGAAAACCTCCATATAAATTCTTTTGCTTATGTGGTTACTGTCAGCTGAGCATAATTGTAACTACTATCTTGTATTTTGAATAACAGTAATGGTAATTGAATCCTGCTCCACATTATCTTTATTATTACTATGATGCACTAGATTGTTCCTTGAATTAAATTGTGGGGGTGAACAGGAGGTACCTAATCAGTTCTTGGACGTATCTCATATCACACTTACTTTAATATCAAAGGCTCATAAATATACCCCAATGGACAACCTTTCATATTTTAGTCTTCAGATTGAGGCCAATCTCACTTCTTCTGTATCCCCTTGCAATTGTAGAGTGCCGTGATCACATCTGATATGACTGAAATGATTTTCTCCAATAGTCCGGAACAGCAGCTTTCTGCTACTCAGAAATTCCGAAAACTTCTCTCAAAAGGTGAGTTCTAGTTGTATCTATGAAAACAAAATGCTTGCGTTATTTATATTCAGAGATTATAGACCCCTGCTTGTCAGTAATGCTTTGAGTATCTTATTGACACATATATATGGCTACTCTATGTCTTACCTCTGCTTCTTCTGCTAAGATTTTGGTTTTTCGTTGCTTTTATAATAAAAGATTCCTCCATCCCACCCCCAAACAAGCATCAGCACAGCTAAGATACTGCTTTTAATGGTATCTAACTGTCCCCTGCCACGCGTTGCTGTGACCCAGTCTGGTGATCTGGAAAATAAAGTAATGAGAAAGTGTTGGTTTCTAATATATGTAATTCCTTTATGGTTGTGAGTAAAAAGTATTTCTTGCTGTTTCTTTGTCAGTGTTGATGTGGAGATTGTCTGGTTTGCCTACTCTGGAATATGGAACATATAATTGTCCTTGTTTAGGGGGTCCCTTTCACATCTATCATACTATTTTAATTGTCTTGACCCATTCCTTTTACATGAAGAGCAGGCAGGATTTTTTGATACATGGAAACAAGCTAACATCACGGTGATACATAAAGAAAATACTGACCCTGAAAAAATTAAAAATTATAGACCCATTTCCTTGTTAAATTTAGATTATAAAATTTATAGCTTTGTGGTGGCGGAAAGATTAAAAACCTTACTTAAAAAAAGAATAAAAGAAGGACAATCAGGATTTTTACCAAATAGGCAGCAAAAGGAAAATGTAAGAATAATAATTGATTTAATTGAATATTACAAAATTAGAAATAAAAAAGGTAATGTTTCTGGCCCTAGATGCTGAAAAAGCATTCAACAATGTGAATTGGAATTTCTTCAAATTATTAATGAAAGAGATGGACATTGGGTATTATTTTCAAAATATGATAAATGCTATATACGAGAAAAAAGAAGCAAAAATTTGGATAAACAGACAAGAAACAGAAAAAAATCGAGATTGAAAAAGGAACAAGGCAGGGCTGTCCCCTGTCACCCTTAATATTTATTCTAACATTAGAGGTACTACTTGACAAAATAAGACGATGAATTAAAAGGAGCAAGAATCCAAAAACAAGACTATAAATTAAGAGCATATGTGGATGATATAATATGTATAATAGAAGAACCAGAGAAAAATTTAGGAAATTGGATAAAGACAATAAAAGAATTTGGAGAAATTACGGGCTTTAAATTGAACTTAGAAAAAACTAAAGCATTGACAAAGAATATTACAAAAAAAGAACAAGAGAGAATAAAAGAAAGATGGAACATTCAGATTGTACCTAAACTAAAATATCTAGGAATAATATTGACAACAAAAAATCTACAACTACTATAGAATAATTACATATAAAGTTGGAAAATCATAAAAAGGGACCTCGAAAATTGGAAAAATTTGAACTTTTCACTCTTAGGAAGAATTGCAAGCGTGAAAATGAAAATACTACCAAAAATGATCTTTCTCTTTCAAAACCTACCTATAATAAGAAATCAAAATTTACTAAAAGATTGGAATAGAGATATAATGAAATATATTTGGCAGGGGAAGAGGCCGAGAATAAATTTCAAAAACATGACTGAAGAAACAAAAAGGTCTCTTCCAACTCTTCGATTCTATGATTCTAAGCCAGATGTCATCCATCCTATTTTTGTTCATTTCTTGTTTTCTTTCTAAATGTAGTACCTTACATTTTCCCCTGTTGATATTCACCTTTTTAGTTTAGGCTCATATCTCCAATTTGTCAAGGTAATTTTGGATCCTGATCCTGTCCTGTGGCTACCCTGGTTACTTGGTGTCACCTGCGAATTTGATAAGGCTGCTTCTCTATCCTAATATTGAGGGGTTTTTTTTGTTAATATTTCTTATGCCTGATGTGTGGGAACAGCGTATTGCCCTTCAGCTTTGTAGTCCCAAGCATTAAATAGGATGACCTTCCAAGTAGGGAAATTCATTGCTTATCAAGGCATAGAAGTTGTAAGCTACAATTATAGATCTCTGTAGTTGAATTGTTAAATTATTTCATTTATTCCATTCTTGTTTAAATGTGTAACTTCACAAAAAAAATCAGAAAGATCTATTCTGATACGTTCATGTTATGTCTGTTTAAATAGAACCAAATCCGCCTATAGATGAAGTCATTAGTACCCCAGGAGTGGTGGCCAGGTTTGTGGAGTTCCTAAAACGGAAAGAAAACTGCACTTTACAGGTGCGTCATATCTGTGAGAGAGAGAATTGCTTTACATAAAGACTTTTGTGTTCATAAAGTTCAGTATTTGCATTTAGATTTGAAAAATGTCGTAGATACAATTCTAATACTGTTAATCATCCTTCATCTGAAATGCTAAAGACCAGAAGTATTCTGTAGTGTGCAGGATGTCAACAGACCTGTATAGATATATAATGAGATGGGACCCAAGTCTAAACATGACATTAATTCATGTTTCTTATACATCTCATCCATATAGCCTGAAGGTAATTGCATAAACAGTAATTTAATGCACTTGCATGCATGAAACAAAGCTTGTGTATCATCAGAAAGCAGAATTGTCACTATCTTAGCCACTCAATGTGGACAATTTTTGAATTTTGGAACATTATGAATTTCAGAATTCCAGAGGAGGGATACTCAAACTTGTACACTGCTTCTATTTTAAAAACCAGTTCAAACATATCAATCTCTATTGTTCCTTAATTACCACATTTTGTTCTATTTCTGTTGACATACCTGTATTCACTATTATAGTGCTAAGAATACTACAGATAGACGAGGGTGACTCTGTTGACAGTGACATGCTTCAAAACAGCCACCTGCAAATTCATAGATCTTCAGCTACTATGTTGCACCACCTCTAATTGCTTTTATGAAACGTATTTTGAGAAAGGGATTTTAATTGCTATCAATATTACCGTATATTCTGGTGTATAAGGCTACTTTTTAACCCAAGAAAATCTTCTCAAAAGTCAGGGGTCGTCCTATACGTGAGGGCGTCTTATACACGGGAGTAGCCTTATACATGGGAGTGGTCTTATACGCTGGAGTAGTCTTATACACGGGAGTGGTCTTATATGCTGGAGTAATCTTATCACAGGAGTAGTCTTATACATGGCAGTAGTCTTATACACGGGAGTAGACTTATATGCTGGAGTAGTCTTACACTTGGGAGTACTCTTATACACGGGAGTAGTCTTATAGAGCGGGTGCTGAAACTTCCAATCGGATTGGAGAATCTGTGGTTGCCGCATATGGTGGGGGGAGCTCAAAAATGGCAATGGCCGTGTCCCTGCCGTATGCAGCGACGGTATGAAAGCATTAAGGGCAACGCTGCACAAGTACGGTAGAAGAAAATCCATTCATCAGGATTCGTGGACTTAATTCGGTCCCGATGGTAAGGTGAAGGGGCGCCTCACCGGGAAGGTGTAAATGAAGGGCGGAGAAAGCTGTAGGTGTCCGGGGTGCCCGGGGTATGGAAAAAAGAGGTAGAGTGGCTCTGGACCCAGAAAAACACACCTCTTTTACTTGTCTGACCTCCTCCTCTGCCTCTCAGATCTCGCTCCTGAAGACTGCAGTGAAGCAGTGCAGGTGCGTATTTGTGAGATCTGAGAGGCAGAGAAGGAGGTACAGTAATAGGAAAATTACCATATTGAAATCAAATCTGATGCTTTAAAAAAATTTGGTGTGCGTTGGAACAGGGGTAGTCTTATACGGCGAATATATCCCAAACTCTATATTTTAACTGGAAAAGTTGCGGGTCCTCTTATACGTCCATTCGTCTTATATGCCGGAATATACGGTACTGACTTGGTGTCCTTGTCTTGAGTTGTACAAGCTGGAGCTTCTCTTATAGGAAATCCAAAAAAGCAAAACTTTTTTCACCCAGCCACCCACCTCTGCCTTTGGGAAAGAGACTAGTCACATGTTCAGTGTCTGCTGAGTTTTTCTGCAAGGAGCTTTGGTGAGGGAAAGAAGAGGGAGGGAAGGGGGGAGGATTCCGCTTAGATAAGACCTCTGTAAAAATCAGACATCCCAGATACGTTCCCTGACAGAGATCTTGCCTGTCCACCTAACACTTCTTTTCTCCAGGTCAGAGTTCCTTGAGGAAAGATTCAGGGGGCACTCGACATGTGACTAACCCCCTTTCCCCCATCACTCATTCACAGTGTATATACAAATGCAAATATTTCAAAAATCAAAAATAGATCCAAAATCGGAAAAACACGTGGCCCCATACACTTTGCATAAGTGAGACTCAGCCTGTATCAGAAAAATAGCAAAATAATATACATAGATTTTTCCCTTCCAGCTAGAGACAGGCATAAATACTGTTTGAAGACTATCAGACAGCCTGTATCACTTCTAAGATGTAATTTTTACTTACAGAATTGAATGCAGAAAACAAATACAGGTGTGAAAGAGGAAGGAATGGTGTCTGAAGTATCTGCTAGATAAGGGTGGGAATGCCATTTTGCCTCTTGCTCCTTCTAGCTACCACGTGCATGTTACCCTGCATCCCCAGGTTAGTGTAGACTTCATGTCTTTGACAAATAGGTATTGAAAATTATTTCTTTTGTCTCCTGTTCCAGTTTGAAGCTGCATGGGTACTGACTAACATTGCCTCTGGAAATTCCCTTCAGACTCGGATTGTGATCCAAGCAGGGGCTGTTCCTATCTTCATAGAACTGCTCAGCTCAGAATTTGAAGATGTGCAAGAACAGGTTAGGTTCTCAACAGGAAAAATCATTGAAATTTCAGTACAGAGATAAAAAAATGAAATGGAAATAGAGAAAATGAAATATGTGTGTATGTGTGTCACTCCTTGTTCTTGGGTATTGTTAGGAAAATTTTCATTCAAAAATTAATGAAAACATTTTTCTGCATATTTGTTATTCTCATAACAAATATGCAGAAAAATGTGAGAATAACAAATAACTTCTTATGAAGTTATTTTTATAAATAAAGTATATTCACACACTCTTCAGTGAAAACATTTCCATACAGATGTATTTCGTATCACGCTAGCAAAACTTGTCATACCATCCAGCTTAGTAAGAAAAAAGCTGAGCTGGAAAAATCAACTCAAGAGTCCCCCTAAATCAGGCATGCTCAAAATCCATCCCAGGGACTAATTGTGGCCCTTGCTCAAATTTCCACTGGCTCTCTTTCTCTAGGACTCTCTCCCTCCCTTCTTTGACTTCCTCCCTCCCTTTCTTGATTTCCTTCCTCTCTTTGTTCATTCCTTCCTTCTTGGGGATCGTGGCCCTGGAGAGACGGTGGCCTTTTGTGTCCCTTTACCCTGATAATGCATCACCCTTTGCTCAGGTGGTTCTGAGCGGAGGACCAGCACTGGTATCTCTCCTCCCAGTTTTCCTTTCACTTTCAAGAAACATTGATGAGATGGGCACACAGAGATGTGAAAATAGGCATCCTTGAGATTTAGGGTCACAAACCAGTTGTAATTTTGGAGTTGGGGCAGAACAAACAGGATCATTTGGAGAGTGATGTAGATCTATGGGTCCTCCATCGGCTGTGTCATGATACATCTTGCTAAGTCATGCCCCCTTTCCAATGAGTGAGGAACATCATCGTCCCCTGGGAAAGGGAAGGAGGCCTAAGCCTAAGACCTGTCCATCCTGGACATAAGACAGTATGCAAGTGAGTTGCAGTGGTTTTCTCGGGTCCATTGAAGAGCTCAAAGATAGCAGTCCAGTGATCTATGAACCTGCAACATAGATCAAGACCACTTGTCATCATGCTGTGATTTAGGTACATTCCTAAGGTCCCACAATTGAGAGCAGTAAGCCAGCATTGCTGTCAAATGCAGATCTATCTCTGGGCCAGTTTGGACTGAGCCAAGGATGGTGACCTCTTTCAAGCCCCAGGTGAGCTGGTGGAGTAACAGGAAGTTTACCTTTAGATCTGTCAGATTCTTTAGTGTCCTTCATTAGGTCCAGAGAAGCAATCAAAGCAGGAGCAATCAACAGCATAGCAATAATTTAATGTTGATGAGAACCACAGCATGATTGTCATCAATGAGGGAACTGTATTGCAGAATCGATCTTTTCTTGGTGTGTTCATGCATCTGGGTGAGAGAGTCATATAATCTCCCCTGTGTAGCCATCTTTTCCGGTGATGCATGGCACTTTTTGGCTTTTCTATGCTGAGCAACTGTCTCTCTTTTCTTCCTTCTCTCTTTCCTTCCCTCCTTCTCTACAACTTCCCCCCTTCCTTCTTTCCTTCCTTCTTTCCCTTTTTACTTTCCTTCTCTCCTTCCTTCCTTCTCTAACTTTCCTTCCTTCCCCCTTTTTCTTTCCCTCCCTCTTTCTCTCTTTTCTTCATTCTCTACTTCTTTCCTTCTCTCTTTGCTTCCATGCTTTCTTATCCCTTTCCTTCTTTCTTTCCCTCCCTCCCTCTTTCTTTCCTTTTTTCTGTATTGTCGTTTAGCTTTTCATAATTTAGCTTTTTGGGGCTTTTTAAGTCCCTTCTGCTGTGTTTTCCAGTGTTTTTATGAGTGAAGGACATACTTTGGGTTGTTAGGTGTCTTGTGTCCAAATTTGGTGTCAATACATCCAGTTCTTTTTGAGTTCTGTTAATCCCACAAACAAACATTACATTTTTATTTATATAGATAAGGGCAAAAGCTAACTTGGTACCGTGTTGATTATTTTATTGTTTCAGTTGTTTTAGCTTTTAATAGCTACATTTGCATCTATATGTATAGCATATTTTAATTTTATTACGATTTCTTATCCTTTGTTGATTGGTCTGTTTTTAATTTCTCATCTGAGAGAAATTCTAACAGACATCTTGACAGAATCCTGAATTCCATTTTGGTTCAAGGTAAAAAAAATCTCTGTATTTGTCCAAGCTTTTAAAGTGCCCGGATTTTGTGGGGGCCTCTCATTTTATTGTTTCGTTGTGTCTTTATTTGTTGTGAGTTCTGCTGTAGTTGAATGTTTTTCTATTATGTAATTATCTTATTGCAAGTGGTGAGAGTATTGCTGAAGGGTGGAGTTTAAATATTTTCAAACTATTTTAGGGACATTTTTATGTTGGGTTACAAAACATGAAAATGTGTTTACCACTGTTTTTCTTCCCCTTTAGGCTGTCTGGGCTCTTGGCAATATTGCAGGCGACAGTACTATGTGTAGAGACTATGTGCTTGACTGCAACATCTTGCCCCCTTTATTACAGTAAGTCTTATAAATACTGTAGTAATAATATTTGCAAATCCCGTCTAGGAATGTGTTATGGGCATCTCCACTATATTTTGTGCGTCATCAGCAGATTTAGGCACAAGGGGGGTGTGGCTTTTAAAAAAAAACAGGAAGTAAATTTCCACTCTGTCCTTATTGTTGAAAAATGGCCTCTCTTGTAGCTAAAATGGCACAAGAGACAGATAATATGAATGTTAAAAATACACCCCATGTCCCATAGAGGGCATTTAGGACCTTATTATTTTGTTATTTTTTACCATTAGTGGTGCTGGGGGTGCTAATTCCCTAGCTTTCCACAGTTGCCCAGGTCCTGGTTATTGTCTGAATGTACTTCATTGGTTTTTAACACGATGCTCATGGTTGCAATGCATTTCATGGAGAAGAATGTGTAAAAGAGAAGTACAGTGTTCCCTCGCTGTTTTGTGGTTTGCTTTCCGCGGACTCGCGGTTTCGCTGTTAGGGTTTAGAATTAATATTTTTATTTGTATATATTTTGTGGTTTAAAAATCAGAAATGCTTTGCCCGTCTTACCGAGCAAGGGCCATTGCGGCTGTGGGCGCCCTCCCATTGGCCATGCTGCTTGCAGGGGGCTTCTTTTTCCCAGAAGCCCCCTGTGCAGCAGGAAGTTTCTTGCTGCTTGGCCAGCTGGCTAACCAGAGCCCTGGGCCTCCACAGGGCTTTGTGGCCCTGGCAGCCATGCAAAGGCTTCCAGGGCGAGGTGGGGAAGCCTACCCTGGTCGATCCAACCAGCGGCAGGCCCCGCCCCAGGATTGGCCAAGGGCGGCTTCCCCACCTTGCCTCTGCAGCCTTTGTAGAGCTGCCCTAGGCCTCCGCAGGGCTCTGTGGCTGCCGGGGCAAGGTGGGGAAGCCAACCCTGGCCAATCCAGGGGCGGGGCCTGCCACTGGTTGGATTGGCCAGGGTCGGCTTCCCCACCTCACCCTGGCAGCTTTTGCATGGCTGCCAGGGCCACAAAGCCCTGTGGAGGCCCAGGACAGCTCTACAAGTGCTGCCGGGGCAAGGTGGGTAAGGGGCCCTGGCCAATCCAGTGGCAGGGCGGGGCCTGCCACTGGTTGGCCAGCCGGCCAAGTGGCGGGAAACTTCCCGCCATGCAGGGGGCTTCTGAAAAGAAGAAGTCCCCTGCAAGCAGCATGGCTGGTGGGAGGACGTCCACCGCCGCAACGGCCCTTGCCCAGTAAGTCGGGCAAGGCATTTCTGATTTTAAAACCACAAAATGTACAAAAATATATTAAAATGTTAATTCTAACACTAAAAGAATATTATAAATCATAAAAAATTGCGATTTACAGTAAATAGGATTGTAAATACTGTATGTATTTATATATAGTGTCCCTACTTCATGGATTTTCACTTATTGCGCGTGGTCCTGGAACATAACACCCATGATAAGTGAGGGAACACTGTACTTCCATCCATTATGAATAATACTTTGTCTTGCTTGTGTAAATAAGTGATGTTGCTGGGGGTTTTTTTCCCACCAATACCCATGTGCTCCCATCACTTCAGCAGCTTTTATTATCTGCTCATGCAATTTCATGAAGTGAGGGAATTTCATTATGAACCTATTAGTCGCCATCAAGAAATGTGTGGTTTTAAGCATTTCTCGCAGTCATATATTTTTTACATTTTAAAAAGCTATGTTTTTAACATTGTATTTTCAGATTACTTTCCAAACAGAATCGTCTTACCATGACTCGGAATGCTGTGTGGGCACTCTCTAATCTCTGCAGAGGGAAGAATCCTCCTCCAGATTTTGTTAAGGTGGGAAATAAAGTTTGAATGAAGTTAGGAGAAAGAGTTGTTTTTGTGGATGAAAAAACAACAATAGTTGTTATTACACTTTTTAATGGTTTGTGCGGCTGAAGGCTCCTGAGGGTTGAAGGAGCAAGCTTTCTGCAGAAGGATACTGTGCAAGTATGCTTTAATGTATGTTGTCTAATAGCTCTCATGCTATAACAGAAAACAGTCGCAAATGCTTGTGCATATTTTATTATCTCATCTAAATGCTTGGGATCAGAAGTTTTTCTGATTTTTTGCATATTTAATTATACATACTCGCTGAGGGAGAAAAGGGAAGGGGGCTAACCACATGTAAAGAACTCCTTACCTTAAGCAGCTAGAATGTGAGCCTGGCGAAGCCCTGGTGGCCATCTTAGGATAGGGAAACAAGGAGACGCCGTCTTAGTCAAGGGTTTTCTAGAGGTGGTGTGTCCTAATCTAGGAAGCAGAGATTAGACGGCCAGGATTGGTTAGAAAATAGGGGGCGGAGCCTAGCATTCAAAAAGAAAAAAAGTGTATCTTTTTGAACTGAGGCTTAAGTTGGCAGTTGGAATTTGTCCGTTGGGGAGTTTGTCAGTTGGTGATAACGGTTGGTTGGTGTTCAATAGGAGAGCTGGATTAATCTTTTGTGGTATTCAAGAGCTAGAGAAATTAGCTAGGAATACAGACAGTGGAACAGGACCTTGTTTGTGGTCTGTTCTTTGTCCCTGAGGAAGGCTAGGTCAAAGGCTATTGGCTAGGTTCCAGAAAGGGGAAATTTTGTTTGGAATTATTATCAGCGATTAATTTTCTGAGATAATCTCCTGTTTTGTTAACATCAAAATTTGAACCCAGTACCCAGAACCCATATAAGAATTGTACATCAAATGTAACCAGAAGCTTATGTACCAGTAACTTACTGAAACCACTACGCATTTGTGCCAGAAGAAGTTTAAGCCTATTTAAATAAACATTTTATTTATTGCTAACACGCTATAACAGCCTCAGTGTGAACATCATTGTGATTTAAACCCTCTAAATAAGACAAACACAATTGTAATACAAAAGGGGTGTTACTAAGTATACTCTTCACATAAAATTCAGCCTTAATACCAAACAAAAAGGTGGTAGCAAAAACAATTGAAGAAACAGTTTCAAGATCTCCCAGTTGCCTCTTTCCTGTTTTAAAATATTCCCCTGCACCTATATATATAATTTGGTTGGTAGCTTGTGGGATTCACTATTTTAAAACCCCCTGTTCCTTTCCCTGCTAAGTTCCTTATAATTAATGGCAATCAGCTGGTATAGTTTTCCCCAGGCTCCTTATAATTGGTGAAGCAGTGAGGGGAAATTATTTCTATATCTTGCCCTGTTTGATAAATTCAAATTATTTAAAATCTTTTCTCTACTACTTGATCGTTCCAGAATATCCTTATACCACATATATAGCACTGACTGGATTTTTCTTCAAGCAGCCCAGATCTGGGAAAGGGAAGGGAAGAAAAACTCAGCTTACATAAGGTTTCTGCAAAAAGCGAGTGTTCTAGGCTCCTTCTACACTGCCTTATAATCTAGATTATCAAAGCAGATAAACCACATTACCTGCTTTGAACTGGATTATATGAGTCGACACTATCATATAATCCAGTTCTAAGCAGATAATCTGACTTTTATATAGCAGTGTAGAAGGGACCTCTCTGAGCTTTGTGCACACATCCTCACATGATTTATTATGATTATCTTTTTCATATTGTTGATTTGTGCACTAAAAAGTTCAGTATACTTGCAGGATGCGGTAATACACACTCTTTGGCATCAATTTATTCAACATTTTCATTTCTTTACAGGTGTCTCCCTGTTTAAGTGTGCTCTCATGGCTGCTATTTGTCAATGACACAGATGTTCTCGCTGATGCATGTTGGGCACTCTCTTACTTGTCTGATGGACCCAATGACAAAATACAGGCTGTGATTGATGCTGGAGTATGTAGGAGACTTGTGGAGCTGCTAATGTAAGGATTTTTGATCACGTCAATGTGTTAATTCTTTCCATTTCAGTCATTACCATCCTGTTCCTTTCATTCGTGTAGGATTTACATTACCTATCATTTCTAACTTAAATGAAAAGAGTAATTGGTTCATATGAATTTTTAACCCAAAAAGTCAGGGGTCGTCTTATACGCGGGTGTAGTCTTATGCGTGGGAGTCGTCTTAACTCTATATTTTAACTGGAAAAGTTGGGGGTCGTCTTATACGAGAGGAAGTGATCTGGGTAATTGGTAGGAAGAATAAGGCCGTATCTGACAATGTGTAGGGCTGAGTTAGAACTGGTCATTTTCAAAGGCTTGTTGAAACCACCAGGTCTTTAAGCTCTTACGAAAGGAGGGGAGGGATGGGGCCTGTCTTATTTCCTTTGGAAGGGTGTTCCAGAGGCTACCACTGAGAAGGCCCTCTCTCTTGTCCCCACCAACCGCACTTGAGACGGTAGTGGGACCAAGAGGAGAGCCTCCCCAGAAGATCTTAGAGCTCGTTCCTTCCTTCCTTCCTTCCTTCCTTCCTTCCTTCCTTCCTTCCTTCGTTTTTTGCTTCCATCCTTTCTTCTCTTGCCTTCTCTCCCCCTTTCTCTCCTTTTTTCCCTCCTTCCTTCGCTCCCTCTTTCCTTCCTTTCCTTTTTCTTTCCTTCTCTCCTTCCTTCCTTCTCTGCCTTTCCTTCCTTCCCCATTAAGTGCAATGCTAAGACAGGCAACAATAATATTAGGTACGGGTCTGTGGCTGTTCATTCCAGGGCCGATTAGAGGAAATGATCTAGGTAATTGGTAGGAAGAATAAGGCCGTATTCGACAATGTGTAGGGCTGAGTTAGAACTGGTCATTTTCAAAGGCTTGTTGAAACCACCAGGTCTTCAAGCTCTTATGAAAGGAGGGGAGGGATGGGGCCTGTCTAATTTTCCTTGGAAGGGCGTTCCAGAGACGGGGGGCCACCACTGAGAAGGTCCTCTCCCTCGTCCCCACCAACCACACTTGAGACAGTGGTGGGACCGAGAGGAGGGTCTCCCCGGAAGATTTTAGAGCTCGTGCATCATAGAAGGAGATGCGATCACGGAGATAGGTGGGGCCCGAACAGTTTAGGGCTTTATAGGTCATGACCTGCACCTTGAATTTGGCTCGGCAACTTATCGGCAGCCAATGAAGCTGTTTTAATAGGGGTGTTGTATGCTCCCTATAGTTTGCTCCAGTAAGGAGTCTGGCTGCCGCCCGTTGTACCAGTTCAAACTTCCAGGCCGTCTTCAAAGGCAGCCCCCGTAGAGCGCATTGGTCATCCGCACTCTCCCCAGATTTGAATCTGCAACCTGTTGGTCTTCAATCCTGCCGGCACAAGGGTTAACACTGTGCTACCGGGGGCTCTTTTCTCAAAATTTATTTCTCAAAATAAAATGTATAGATTATAAGTGACATTGAAGTAGAGGCTTTTCATTTAGTTGACCACTTCTGACAACCTGTTCCCTTGCTTCAATTATAAGGTAGATCTAGAGGTGAGTTTGTACTATTGAATGGGCTGTTTTCAAAAGCATGGAAGAGAGGTTGATAAAGAAAAATGAGTTTAAATGAAGATGTATTATTTCAATTAAACAAGCTTTGCAGAGTCTTGATTCAGTATCATTAGTTTTATAGTTCATATTTCTCTACATGCACACATGCAAAAAAAACCCCAAAAAAAAACACAACCCAGTAGCTGGGATTCATGCAGTTCCCAAAGCGCTTTCCAAAGGAAAATTGTTGATGCTGCTTTTCAATGTTAAATTGGAATTGCCCCCGGTGGTGCAGTGGGTTAAGCCCTTGTGCTGGCAGGACTGAAGATTGACAGGTCGCAGGTTCGAATCCGGGGAGAGGCGGATGAGCTCCCCCTATCAGCTCCAGCTCCTCATACGGGGACATGAGAAAAGCCTCCTACAAGGATGATAAAAACCATCAAATCATCCGGGTGTCCCCTGGGCAACGTCCTTGCAGATGGCCAATTCTCTCACACCAGAAGCGACTTGCAGTTTCTCAAGTCGCTCCTGACACGACAAAAAAAAATGTTATATTGCATGCATCTGACATATAGACAGCTAATTATACCATCCCTTCACTTGTACCTATCAGGAAAAAAAAAGTCTTCTGGTACCATGTCTTAACTAGTGGCATTTGATGCCATCATCAAAATACATGTACATGAGTAAATAATATTTTCCTGTGTTTTTTCTGTAACTTGTACAACCTGTTAGTGTTTCATGGTTATGTTTACTATCGGAGGAGCATTTCCATTTCCATTCCATTGCATTTAAATCTGTTAAACTGAAGCCTTTCTTATTTGTAGGCACAATGATTACAAAGTGGTATCTCCTGCCTTGCGAGCAGTTGGGAACATTGTTACAGGGGATGATATCCAGACTCAGGTATGCTGCTTCCTGGAATTATTTGTAATGATTTTAATGTTCGCAAATAATTCAACAAAGTCTTGTCGCTCCTTTGATCCTCAAAATTTGAGAAATTGGCAGCGCTAAACACATACCGTATATTCTGGCGTATAAGACTACTTTTTACCCCAAGAAAATCTTCTCAAAAGTACGCTGGAGCCGTCTTATGCGCTGGAGTAGCCTTATGCATGGGAGTGGTCTTATATGAGGGAGTAGTCTTATACGCCGGGGGGTACTCTTATTTCCTTAGTTTGTAGTATGCCATTTTAACCTTTCAAGGTGCAGACTGCAAAAACAATTTTTTTGCAGTTTAATAAACTTTTCCCATGTTCAATGTATTGTCGAAGGCTTTCATGGCCGGAATCACTGGGTTGTTGTAGGTTTTCCAGGCTATATGGCCATGTTTTAGAGGCATTTTCTCCTGATGTTTCGCCTGCATCTATAGCAAGCATCCTCAACAGCAAAACAACAGAGGGTAAACAATCAGGCACATCAAATCACCTCTCAAAGATTCCCCCAGGCACTTCCAGGCCATTAAATGCTAATCAAGGTGGTCAGTTGAAACATTCACACCTAGCTCCAGCAGACAAGAGTCCTTTGTCCCACCCTGGTCATTCCACAGATATATAAACCCTTTTTCCTAGTTCCAACAGACCTCACTACCTCTGAGGATGCTTGCCATAGATGCAGGCGAAAACGTCAGGAAGAAAATGCCTCTAGAACATGGCCATATAGCCCGGAAAACCTACAATAACCCAGGTTTCCCATGTTTTTATGATAGACCCAATTCAGAAATGACATAACCCAGGAACACAAATTGTGTCACATAGTGTTATATGTTCTTATGCATCTTTCCTTTAAACTTATATTTTCAGATATGTATCTGTGCTGATTGTAGCAAACCAAATTTTTGGAGGCAGTCTAAAAAATGTCTGTCTCTGTGTCTTTCCCAAATACAGGTAATACTGAATTGCTCAGCCCTGCAGAGTTTATTACACTTACTAAGTAGTCCTAAAGAATCAATTAAAAAGGAAGCATGTTGGACAATATCAAATATCACAGCTGGAAACAGAGCACAGATTCAGGTAACCACATTGGTTGGTTCAGAATGTTGTTGAACTGTGTAAAACTGCCCCCTAAATCTGAAGGTATGCACATGGGTTTGAACAAAGAAATTGTCTACTCTTATTTCCATTTTTAGAGTTTGCTATAAATGTCATAAATTCAAAAACTAAGCTGAAAAGCTGAAAAACAGTAGTTCACAAACCTTTGGTGATCCGAGTGTTTTGGTCTTCAACTTCTGGAGGTTTCATGAAGCTTAGGCAAAACTTAGAATTCTGGGATCTGGAGTTTTAAACATCTGGAGGACCAAAGTTTGGGAATATAACTCTAATATTAATCTCAGGAATACAAAAAATGGGAGAAACCACCAAAGAGGAATCATAGAATCATAGAATCAAAGAGTTGGAAGAGACCTCATGGGCCATCCAGTCCAACCCCCTGCCAAGAAGCAGGAATATTGCATTCAAATCACCCCTGACAGATGGCCATCCGGCCTCTGTTTAAAAGCTTCCAAAGAAGGAGCCTCCACCACACTCAGGGGCAGAGAGTTCCACTGCTGAATGGCTCTCACAGTCAGGAAGTTCTTCCTCATGTTCAGATGGAATCTCCTTTCTTGTAGTTTGAAGCCATTGTTCCATAGCGTCCTAGTCTCCAGGGAAGCAGAAAACAAGCTTGCTCCCTCCTCCCTGTGGCTTCCTCTCACATATTTATACATGGCTATCATGTCTCCTCTCAGCCTTCTCTTCTTCAGGCTAAACATGACCAGCTCCTTAAGCCGCTCCTCATAGGGCTTGTTCTCCAGACCCTTGATCATTTTAGTCGCCCTCCTCTGGACACATTCCAGCTTGTCAATATCTCTCTTCAATTGTGGTGCTCAGAATTGGACACAATATTCCAGGTGTGGTCTAACCAAGGCAGAATAGAGGGATAGCATGACTTCCCTAGATCTAGACACTAGACTCCTGTTTATGCAGGCCAAATATTTGAATAGATGTCACATTGAGGAGAGGGCAAGCTTGTTTTTCTACTGCTCTAATCTAGTAGTGAGGATAGTGTGATCTTCCAGATGTTGTTGAACTGCAACTCCCAGTATGCTGATATGGTTAGGGTTAATACATGACCGCATCTCCGTATATGAACCCACACAATCTTTCCGATCATCTGGAGAGGCCCTGCTCATGATCCCACCTGCGTCGCAAGCGCGATTGGTAGGGACAAGGGACAGGGCCTTCTCCGTGGTGGCCCCCCGACTCTGGAACTCTCTCCCCAAGGACATCAGACAAGCCCCAACGTTGGCAGTCTTTAGGAAGAGCTTGAAGACGTGGTTGTTCCAGTGTGCCTTTCCAGAATAGGAAACTCCTAGCATCATGTCCCAAATGCACTTTACTAGAGTTTTAAGATTGTCTGCACATTGCACCTATCTCCAAAAACCTATCTATTTCACCTGTCATGTCCAGCATTTTTTAAATTTTTTAATCATTACATTTGGCCCAGCCTTAGTTTTAAATGCGTCGTGGTGTTATTGTCTAATGTTTATTGCTATTGTTTTAATGTTTATTGCTTGTTTTATTTTTGTTGTATTTGTTATGCTGTTGTTTTATTGATGTGTTGGGCCTCGGCCTCTTGTAAGCCGCACCGAGTCGTTCGGGAGATGTTAGCGGGGTATAAATAAAGGTTTATGATTATGATTATGATTATTATTATTATTATTAATGGGATTTGCAGTTCTACAAAACCTTTAGGGCCACGCAACTCCTTCTCTAACCTGTGTATAAATATCAATAATGTGACATACATCTATTGCAGTGTTTCTCAACCTGGGTGGTCGTGAGGGGGTGTCAAAGGGGTCGCCAAAGACCATCAGAAAACATAGTATTTTCTGTTGGTCATTGGGATTCTGTGTGGGAAGTTTGAGCGAATTCTATTGCTGGTCAAGTACAGAACGCTCTTTGATTGTAGGTCAACTATAAATCCCAACAACTACAACTACCAAATGTCAAGGTCTATTTTCCCCAGACTCCACATTTAGGCATATTGAGTATTCGTGCCAAGTTTGGTCCAGATCCATCATTGCATAAATCCACAGCACTCCTTTGGATATAGGTGAATTACAACTCCCAAACTCAAGGTCAATGCCGACAAAACTCTTCCAGTGTTTTCTGTTGGTCATGGGAGTTCTGTGTGCCAAATTCGGTTTAAATCCATCGCTGGTGGAGTTCAGAATGCTCATTGATTATATGTAATATAAATCCCAGCAACGACAACTCCCAAATTACAAAATCAGTCCTCCCCACAACCCCACTAGCATTCACATTTGGGCATATTGGGTATTTGTGCTCAATTTAGTGAAGTGAATGAAAATCCATCCTGCATATCGGATATTTACGTTATGATTTATAACAGTAGTAAAATGACAGGTATTAAGCAGCAACAAAAACAATATTATGGTTGGGGGTCACCACAACATAGGGAACTGCATTAAGGGGTCACGGCATTAGCAAGGCTGAGAACCACTGATCTATTGTCAAAGTATTAAATTGGTGTGTTTAAATGAGTTATGGGAAGAGAGTTCTCAACAAGTAATCCAATTTGTACTTGAGTACTTTTATATAGTACTAAATCTGTATTTGTTTTTCAGACTGTCATAGATGCCAACATTTTCCCAGCTCTAATCAATATTTTGCAAACTGCTGAGTTTCGAACAAGAAAAGAAGCGGCTTGGGCCATCACCAATGCAACATCTGGGGGTTCTGCAGAGCAGATCAAGTAAGTAGCAGAAAACTCCCCTCAAAACCTGATTGATTTAAATGGGCAGTTCTCAAAGAAACATACTGAGGAGCTCTCTCCTCCTTCTCCTTCCCCTTTCCCTCCTTTTTCCTACTCCTCCTCCTCACTTGCCTCTCTCGCCCGAAGGGGACTCAAAGCAGCTTAACATAAAAGTATTAGCATACAATTTAAAATATATAAATATTAAAACAGAATCTATATAAATAAAAATGTAATGTTCGTTTGTGGGATTAACATAACTCAAAAACCACTGGACGAATTGCCACCAAATTTGGACAGCATACACCTACTAACCCAATGTATGTCCCTCACTCAAAAAAATGATTTTATCATTTGGGAGTTGTAGTTGCTGGGATTTATAGTTCACCTACAATCAAAAAGCATTCTGAACTCCACTAATGATGGAATTGAACCAAACGTGGCATACAGGACTCCCATGACCAACAGAAAACACTAGAAGGGTTTGGTGGATGTTGACCTTGAGTTTGGAAGTTGTAGTTCACCTACATCCAGAGAGCAGTGATGGATCTGGACCATTTATTTATCGTGTCATCAGCAACCATACCATTGTATTACATTTCTAACAGAACAAAACAAACAAACAGATAAAAAACCCCACAGATTTTGCAAACTTGGTAGTTGATTAAATATCCTTTGACCAGTATCTGGCCACTTGGAGTGCTTTCTGGTGTTGCCGCAAGAAGGTCCTCCATTGTGCATGTGGCAGGGCTCAGGTTGCACTGCAGCAGGTAATCTGTGGTTTGCTCTTCTCCGCACTCGCATGTTGTGGATTCAACTCTGCCCACAGTGAAGACATCTGCCCTTGCACTATGCTACTCTGCTGCTGAGTATGCATGCCCAGTGTGGAACACATCTCACACACTAAAACAGTGGATGTGGCTCTTAATGAGACATGCCGCATTATCACGGGTGTCTGCGCCCTACACCACTGGAGAAATTACACTGCTTAGCCAGTATTGCACCACCTGACATCCGCCGGGAAGTAGCAGCCAATAGTGAAAGGAAGAGGGGCCGACCAAGAGCAAGATGGATGGATGGCATCCTTGAATGGACTGGACTGACCTTGAAGGAGCTGGGGGTGGTGACGGCCGACAGGGAGCTCTGGCGTGGGCTGGTCCATGAGGTCACGAAGAGTCGGAGACGACTGAACGAATGAACAACAACAACAACAAGCAGGTATTGCACCACCTGACATTCGCCAGGAAGTAGCAGCCAATAGTGAAAGGACCAAGGCAGTGACATCTCCAGCCCATCAGCCAGCACGTCAACCACTTAAATCAAGAAATAGTTTTCTAAGATCTACAGAGACACTCGCTGGAACACCTCAGCAAGCGAGAGTCCAAAAGTGGCAGGCTCAACCCAGCACCTCAATCCATGGGTGATACCAAATGAGAGACTCCCTCATTACATTTACATTTTTATTTATATAGATAATAAAGATATTTCAGGGGGAAATAAATCTTAAGGTTTATACTCACCTGTAAAATTTAACGTTTATATTCACAGGTTTATATTCACCTGTTCTTGCTTTCCTGCTCCTCCCCCCTCCCTTGTCTCTCTCTACTGAAGGCGATTTACAATAAACATTATTGTGAAGCATCTTACAGTAAAATAACAAAATACTGTTAAATAACAAGTCATAAATCACAATCTAAAATCATGTAATTAAAAGAGAAATATAGCATTGTTATGATGGCCTTTAATAGCAAGAGAGTTTTGGGGTTTGGGAGTTCTAAGATTTCACTTTCTTGAACAGATTCTCTGCATACCCAGTGAAGCAGTTAAGGATGAATCGCCATTCATACCTATAATATAATATATTTCCTAATAATAGGCCTACATTTATAGAATATTTCAAAATTATGAGTCCTTTTTATAATAACAAAAAATTGCATAGTTGGTGCTATTTTGCCAAGCTGCCATGTTGATTCTCAATTCATTATGGTTTTTCAGGTATCTGGTAGAACTTGGTTGTATCAAACCACTTTGCGATCTCCTTACGGTAATGGACTCGAAGATTGTGCAGGTGGCACTTAATGGTCTCGAAAACATTCTGAGGCTTGGTGAACAAGAAGCTAGGCGGAGTGGCACAGGCATTAACCCATACTGTGCACTCATCGAGGAAGCCTACGGTAAGGGGGAGTGGTCATGGGTGGTGGCCATGTTAAAAATTAAAATTCTGCGTATTAGTTTTTGACTTATTTTCCACTACTCCTTTTAATCAGACATATGAAGATTACCCATCCACAGGCCCGTAGCCAGGATTTTGATTCGGGGGGGGGGGGGGGGGGGGTGAGTCTGAGTGAAAGAGGGTCTACCCTAGCAAACCTTTTGTATCATTACCCCAATACCCCCATGCATATGAGATATATTGAGCATGGTGATCAGATCATGATGTGAATAAGCATAATAGTTTAAATAATGTACCAGTAACGCCTTTTCGCAGACCACCATGAGAATCCCTGGCTACATGCCTGCCCATCCACTTATTGTCACAAATGACTTTTCAATAACTTTAAAGCATAGGTTCATGCCGTAGTCACTTCCAGATTGGACTACTGTAATGCACTCTACGTGGGGCTGCCCTTGAAAACGGCCCGGAAATTTCAATTGGTCCAACAGGCGGCGGCCAGGTTGTTAACTGGTGCTCCTTACAGAGAGAGGTCAACCCTCCTGTTTAAGGAGCTCCACTGGCTGCCATTCATTTTCCGGTCCCAATTCAAGGTGCAGGTGCTTACCTACAAAGCCCTAAACGGTTTGGGACCCGCCTACCTGCGTGACCGCATCTCTGTGTATGAACCCACACGATCTCTTCGTTCATCTGGAGAGGCCCTGCTCACGATCCCACCTGCATCGCAAGCGCAATTGGTGGGGACGAGGGATAGGGCTTTCTCGGTGGTGGCCCCTCGACTCTGGAACTCTCTCCCTAAGGACATCAGGCAGGCCCCGTTGCTAGCAATCTTTAGGAGGAGCTTGAAAACGTGGTTGTTCCAGTGTGCCTTTCCAGAATAAGGAAACTCCTAGCATTATGTCCCAACGCACTTTATCAGAGATTCAGGATATCTGCATGCCCATCCCCCTCCAAACACCCCACCTTGTCATGCCCAGCACTTTTTAATTTTAATTGTTACAATTGGCCCAGCCATTGTTTTTAATTGCGTCATTGGGTGTTGTTAATTGTTATTGCTTTGTTTTTTGAGTTATTGTGTTGTTGTTGCTGCTGTTTTATTGTTGTATTTGGGCTCGGCCTCTTGTAAGCCACACCGAGTCCTTCGGGAGATGGTAGCGGGGTACAAATAAAGGATTATTATTATTATTATTATTATTATTATTATTTTTATTGCAATTTCCAGTGTGACAGGGTATATCAGATTACAGAAAAACATTTAAACATCCAGACATACAGATTCTATGCAACTACATTGGATTTACAATTACATGGCTAACAAACAAACAAAGGGGAATTACATTTTCACTCAATATTCACACCACATGTACAAGCATTCATTCTCATGCACCCAAATATTACCGTATCCTTTCTCCCTCCTTGGAGAAGCACCTGCTTAGGACAGACCCTGCTTCCCTGCAGCCTGTCAACGCACAGTTGCATAACTTACGTAATGCCAAAACTTTAAAACTCCCAAATGCCAAAACTTCTTCCCTAAGAACAATGCCAAGGAACAGATCTCTGTTTTCCACACAGCAGAATCTGACTCCCTGCACAAAATCCAAGACTCCAAAGCACGTTTCTTCCCCTTCCCTTGAGAAAGAAGGCCAAAAATGACCAGACTGCTCCCGTGCAAATCTGCCGCTCTCCATAGGTACATTATCTCTCTCCTTCCCATGGAGCAGAGCATAGCGGATGAACAGCGCCTCTGTCTGTCACACTTTGAGCATTATTAGACTGAGTCTTTTATGCGAATATTCTGCTGATGTAGTCCCAAAGTTGTAAATGAATGATAGATGTCTTCCATCCTGGCACCATCTCAGTTTCCTGGCCAGGTGTTGATCTTCCTGATTAGTGTTGATCTTACGTTGACTTCCTTCTTAACATTGTAAACATTTCTGTTGGACTTTCCTTTATTGATCTTTGATAGTGTATCGGGGGTAAGGTACCATCGAGAGAAGAGTTTGTACCAATTTTCTTTGTAATCAGTTGAGTAGGTGAATTTCAATTTTCTTGTCCATACTTCTTCCCATTCAGATAAACTTATTGTACCCCCAATGTCCCTGGCCCATTTTATCATGTTTTCCCTCTTGAAAGTTTCTAAGGTGGGAGCCTTCCTAATCTCACCAGGCAATGAGTTCCAGAGTTGGGGGGCCACAGAGGAGAAGGAGAAATATGTTTACCTCTCCGAACGTATTCTCCCCTACGAACCATCAAGACCACTAAGATCGTCTGGAGGGGCCCTGCTCTCGGTCCCACCGCCTGCACAAGCACGGCTGGTGGGGACGAGGAACAGGGCCTTCTCGATGGTGGCCCCTCGACTTTGGAACTCCCTGCCATTAGAGATCAGAACTGCCCCCTCCCTCATGACGTTCAGGAAACTAACAAAGACCTGGTTGTGGAACGCGGCATTTGACAACTGATTTAATTCTTTGCCCACGTGAAAGGAGGATGATGAATGGGATTGTGATGGTGTCGGACGATTTGGCTCTTTTAACTGGGATGATAATGTTTTAATGTGTATGGTGCTGATATTTTAATCGTGTAATGAAGTGGCATTGTGTTGTTATTGTATATTTTTGTATGTTAACACATGTTGTGAACCGGTCCGAATCCCTCTTTGAAGGTGAGAGGGTCGGTATATAAAACCTCGAAATAAATAATAATATAAATAAGGAGAAATATGTATCACCTCTTTGGCTTATGAAAGAACATAAAATAGATACCATTTCATGTTTGAGATTTGAGAAAGTTTGTGTGTTCCCCTTTCAGGGCTGGATAAGATTGAATTCCTGCAAAGCCACGAGAACCAAGAAATCTACCAGAAGGCCTTTGATCTGATTGAGCACTATTTTGGAACGGAGGAGGAAGACAGCAGCATTGCTCCACAAGTCGATCTTGGTCAGCAGCAGTACATCTTCCAGCAGTGTGAAGCTCCCATGGAAGGCTTCCAACTCTGAGGTGCTTCTTCTGTGTGCTCGATTGCTCTGCCCAGCTAATAGAGCTGAGTAGTTTTGTTTTCCATAAAGCTGTGTGAGCTCATTTGCTTGCTTTTTTGCACACAACCTCCTTAAACACAACTGGAAAACTTTTGGCTCTTAGTTGTAGGATGCCACTTTGGTAAGGGCTTACCAGAACTGCTGTGCCGATCTCTGAAGAGATGGGGCATTTCTGTAAAGATGTTGGTTTTCCCCTATGAAATGTACACTAACATGGTGTAATCCTAGATTATAAAACAAGGGTGGAGTTGCTGCATTTGTGTATTTGTGTGTGTATGTGACAGTGTTCTTGCTGTCTACAAAAAGGCGTTGAGAGACTTTTTCTTCCCGTACACTCTGCTGGGCCCTGCCTCATTCAGTGGATTTAAGAATATTTAACATACAGAATTTGAACTCTGGTGGTTTTGTGTGTGGCAAACTAAGCTCCTGTTAATATATATGTATATATATACATATACATATGAACTCTCTGTTCCCTGCACTTATATCCACCAGTGAATAAGCTTCTCCAGATTCTAGGAATACTGAACATCTGATAATAAACTGACTCCTGTGCTGCCATTTTGACTGCTTTGGGTTTGGAGTTCTCTTCTGTCTGCATAAGGAACGGAGAACTGCTCCATTCCTCTCTACCTTCCCAAGGCACAGCAATATCTATTGTTGAAGATTCCCTAAATTGTGCAGGGATAGAAGAACAGTTGCTACTCGTCTACCACAGTGTAAATTGTCTCTCTGCATTAAAACTGCATTCATATGTTGGTCCTCACCAGTAGCATTATTGCTAAAGAGTTCCCACATGAATTTTGGTACGCCGCATGGTCAAACAAGGCTCTGTCTATCACTTTTTGATGTGAACTCTGAATATGCTAAATTTCAAGGACAACAGTAGCTTCTTCTGTTGCATCTGCTTTTATGAACTGTACCTTCTGCCTCAGACTGAGAATCATAGAATCATAAAGTTGGAAAGAGACCTCATGGGCCAGTGACGGGCAACCTTTTGAGCTTGGTGTGTCAAAATTTGCCAAAAACCTGACCATAACTCGGGTGGGGTGTCAACTTCGAGAAAAAAAATAACGTAATTTTGCAATATTTATAGTTTAAATAAGAAAAAATGTATATTCCATGCTGAGTTATGGAGTGAACAATGCTCAAACATGCAGATGTTAAATTTGTAGAGCCTTTTACAAATATAAGGATGGAATTAGATTGGCTCTTATAAGGTGTACTTCTCTGAATGCGGCCACATGTGGCCGTGTGTCATCAAAAATAGCCATGTGTGTCAGTGCTGATACGCATGTCATAGGTTCACCATCACTCCCCATGTCACGGCCCACTTAGAATCATAGAATCATAGAGTTGGAAGGGCCATCCAGTCCAACCCCTTGCCAAGAAGCAGGAACATTGCATTCAAAGCACCCCCGACAGATGGCCATCCAGCCTCTGTTTAAAAGCTCCCAAAGAAGGAGCCTCCACCACGCTCTGAGGCAGAGAGTTCCACTGCTGAACAGCTCTCACAGTCAGGAAGTTCTTCCTGATATTCAGATAGAATCACTTGAGCTTTAACAAGCCATGCAAACCCTTAGTCAAGCTCTGCATTTCACAACTACTGTACAAGCGCTTCAGTTGTAAAGCCATCTGGCTACCATTTTCTTCTCATATCTCTGATTTAAAGCTCAGTGCAGCTGATCTCTGGGGAAGCACCAGTATTTCGGCTTCCCACAGCAGCCATGTGTCACGGCAGTTTCCATGTATTGTCGAAGGCTTTCATGGCCGGAATCACTGGGTTGTTATAGGTTTTTTCGGGCTGTATGGCCATGGTCTAGAGGCATTATCTCCTGACGTTTCTCCTGCATATATGGCAAGCATCCTCAGAGGTAGTGAGGTCTGTTGGAACTAGGAAAAAGGGTTTATATATCTGTGGAATGACCAGGTGAGACAAAGGACTCTGGAGCTAGGTGTGAATGTTTCAACTGACCATCTTGATTAGCATACAATGGGCTGACTGTGCCTGGAGCAAACCTTTGTTGAGAGGTAATTAGATGTCCCTGCCTGCTTCCTCTCTGTTGTTGTGCTGTTGCAATTTTAGAGTTTTTTAATACTGGTAGCCAGATTTTGTTCATTTTCATGGTTTCCTCCTTTCTGTTGAAATTGTCCACATGCTTGTGTATTTCAATGGCTTCTCTGTGTAGTCTGACATGGTGGTTGTGAGACAGTTGAAACATTCACACCTAGCTCCAGCAGACAAGAGTCCTTTGTCTCACCCTGGTCATTCCACAGATATATAAACCCTTTCTCCTAGTTCCAACAGACCTTTTTATGTCCTCTTCCATGAAGCCTTACTCAGAATAGAAGTTGGAGGAAGGCTTACTTGCTGCTTTTCTTCATAGACTATGGACCTCACTACCTCTGAGGATGCTTGCCATAGATGCAGGCGAAACGTCAGAAAAAACCAAAAAAACCTACAACAACCCAGTTTCCATGTATTTGTACAGTCCCCTATTAAGTAGTACTAAGGTTGTAGTTCTCTGTTATGCTTGAATTGAAGGCACTGGATATGAAGGAAGTGGTGTTCTTCTTCCCTTCCCCAGTCAGCTGGCCCTGACAACATAGTATTAATATATCAGCAGTTTGTTCCTATGTAAATGTTTGACTATTTCAAAGAGATGGCACCTGCTCCTCAACTGAGTAGTACTTTAGTGAATTCCACCATTCAAAATAGAGAACTAATATTGTGTTCCGTAATCAGTTATTTTGTCCGAATTATTCAAACCCTTCATAATACAGGGTAAGGCAGCATAACTTCCTTTTTTTAAATGCGCGCCATTCAGTCGGTTGAAGACGTAGTGGTCTTGTTCGAGAGGCGGGAATATAAAGTTTTGTCCTGACACAGTTCAGTTGCCATCATGCATTGGAACAGTGAGGAGCGTGCTTTTGCCTTTGAGGCCTACTTTTCGAGCGGATTTGGTGTGGCCGGCCCGCTCTCCAGATTTGGCCCCTTGTGATTTTTTTCTATGGGGTTTTTTGAAATCCTGTTTATGTGAACCATCCAAGGACCCTACAAGATCTGAAGACCAACATCCAGGAAGAAATTGCCCTCTATCTTGTGGGGTTCCTCAGGGGGCCATTCTCTCCCCTCTGTTGTTTAACATCTATATGCGACCACTTGCTCAGCTGGTTCGAGGTTTTGGGCTTGAGTGTTATCAGTACGCCGATGACACTCAACTGGTGCTGAAGATGGAAGGCCAACTGGACTCTGTACCCGATTATTTCCATCAGTGCCTCGAGGCCGTTACTGGATGGCTGCGTGCCAGCAGGTTGAGGGTGAATCCAGCAAAGACGGAGATCCTATGGCTGGGTCAACCGGGCAGTGGGGATATCCAGCTGCCTACCCTGGATGGTGAGGCGCTACGCCCGTCATCATTGGTAAAGAGTCTGGGAGTCCTTTTGGACCCTCTGCTGACGATGGAGGCCCAGGTCTCCGCCGTTAGCAGAACCGCCTTTTTTCATCTGCAGCAGGCTAGACGGCTGGCCCCCTATCTGTCCAGGGACGACCTAGCTATGGTGATCCAGGCCACGGTCATCTCAAGACTGGACTACTGTAACGCCCTCTACATTGGCCTTCCTCTGTCAGTGATCTGGAAGCTCAAGTTGGTACAAAATGCAGCTGCTCGGCTTCTTGCGGGAATTCCGATGAGATGCCACATAACACCAATCTTACTACAGCTGCATTGGTTACCAATTGAGCACCGGATCACTTTCAAAGGATGGTACTCACCTTTAAGGCCTTGCATGGTCTGGGGCCGATGTACCTGAGGGACCGCCTCACCCCCTACCAACCCCAGAGATCCCTCCGTTCTGAGGACCAAGATCTATTGGAAATTCCCAGTGTCAAGACCTTGCGTCTAACAGCAACCAGACGCAGAGCCTTTACAGCAGTGGCACCATCACTCTGGAATACTCTGCCACCTGAAGTCCGTGCCTTGCAGGACTTATCAGCTTTCCGCAGGGCATGTAAGACATACCTGTTTCGACAGGCCTTTGATTTTTAATATTGCTGTTTTTGAATTGTTTTAAAATTGTGTTAGATTTTAGCCATTTTTGTAAGCCGCTCCGAGCCCCAGGGGAGTGGCGGCATATAAGTTTGAATAATAAATAAATATAAATAAACATAACACCTGCTTTGCTGGCAAGAGTCATGACAAACGCCAGAAATCGGTTTACTCAGTATATGGAGAATGGGGGACATCAACTACATAATTTGATCTTCAAAACTACATAAAACAAAACTTTAAGTATGCGCCTACATTATAAAAAAAATAATAAAAATTCTGATTCATACAATGGGTTTTATTACATTTTGAAAAAAGGAAGTTATGCTGCCTCGCCCTGTACAATTAATAGAAGACAGCTAAGCTCACCCATAAAGCTTGGAAGGTTTAGCCTCAACTTTCTGGGTAAACTACCCCCATTCAGCATTTTGCATTTATATTGTGTGCTTTTACAAAGGAGGCCTTCACAGCTGCCTGTTCTGCCCCTTCTTTAGCAGGTCCCTTCCTCTATGTTCCCTTCTTTAGTGCAGCTTTATACTAAGGGACTTTGGCAGCATATCTTTGGACTTTAAACGTTTGTAGTTTTGAGAAAACATTGTGAATGAACTAAACTAGGGAGAATGTGCTTGGCAATAAAGTCATCTCTCCCCCAGTAATTGCTTGGGTGGCAGGACCAAACAGCAAGTGTTGGAATTCATGGGCATGAGTCCATGGCTACAATGAAAGTGAACATCATAATGCTGTATTGTTGAAGGCTTTCATGGCCGGAATCACTGGGTTGTTGTAGGTTTTTCCGGGCTAAATGGCCATGCTCTAGAGGCATTTTCTCCTGACGTTTCGCCTCAATCTATGGCAAGCATCCTCAGAGGTAGTGAGGTCTGTTGGAAGTAGGAAAATGGGTTTATATATCTGTGGAATGACCAGGGTGGGACAAAGGACTTTTGTCTGCTGGAGCTAGGTGTGAATGTTTCAACTGACCACCTTGATTAGCATTTAATGGCTTGGAAGTGCCTGGGGGAATGTTTTGTTGAGAGGTGATTTGATGTGCCTGATTGTTTACTCTCTGTTGTTTTGCTGTTGTAATTTTAGAGTTTTTAATACTGGTAGCCAGATTTTGTTCATTTTCATGGTTTCCTCCTTTCTGTTGAAATTGTCCACATGCTTGTGGATTTCAATGGCTTCTCTGTGTAGTCTGACATGGTGGGTGTGAGAGTGGTCCAGCATTTCTGTGTTCTCAAATAAAGCATGTGGACAATTTCAACAGAAAGGAAGAAACCATGAAAATGAACAAACTCTGGCTACCAGTATTAAAAAACTCTAAAATTACAACAGCACAACAACAGAGAGGAAACAAATAAGAACATCTAATCACCTCTCAACAAAACATTCCCCCATGAATCATAGAATCAAAGAGTTGGAAGAGACCTCATGGGCCATCCAGTCCAACCCCCTGCCAAGAAGCAGGAATATTGCATTCAAATCGCACCTGACAGATGGCCATCCAGCCTCTATTTAAAAGCTTCCAAAGAAGGAGCCTCCACCACACTCCGGGGCAGAGTTCCACTGCCCCCAGGCACTTCCAAGCCATTAAATGCTAATCAAGGTGGTCAGTTGAAACAGTCACACCTAGCTCCAGCAGACAAGAGTCCTTTGTCCCACCCTGGTCATTCCACAGATATATAAACCCTTTTTCCTAGTTCCAACAGACCTCACTACCTCTGAGGATGCTTGCCATAGATGCAGGTGAAACGTCAGGAGAAAATGCCTCTAGAACATGGCCATATAGCCCGGAAAAACCTACAACAACCCTATCATAATGCTGCCTGTTTGATCAGATCATATCAGATTTGCTGAAAAACCTGCACCAAATCAGTAAATGCTGGTTTGAACATGAGTTACGAACAAAAAATAAACTCCATGCAAGAAAGATTATGAAGGAATTAACTTTTTGTTGACAAAGTGCAACCCTATTTTAAGTTAGATAGGTAACCCTAAAAAAAATCAACAACCTCAATGTTGCCTTTAAATCCCATAGTTTCTTTTCTTTTTTTTTTTTTGGAGTGTGGTAAAAGCACTAATGAATAGCAATCTTATTTCAGCTTCCATTCTTGTGGCTGGGTTTTTAAACGTGTAAATTTCTTACGACATGTCATTTATATAAAGATTTGTTTTAAATCATGTACTTTATTGAACAGCTTTTTGGGGGGAGAGGTGGGCAAACGACATATTTTGTAAGCCAACTTCAGTGAAGTGTGCATGTGATACTGAAATGTCTTGCATACACAAATACTGATAGTGTGTATATGTGTGCGCAATCCTAGAGTCTATATGCACATACACCGTCCTCCAGTGTGTGTGCTGATGTGTATGTATATATGTATATTTACACACATCCTATATTTCTCACACTGAAAGGTTTTCTCCCAAGCTAGTGAAAACAATGTGATGCATTGGTGTTCCTGCTTAGGAAATAATGACCGTTCTCTCTAAAGGGGTGAATTAAATCATAAATACATTCAAACAAAGTGGTGTGCTGTGTCCCAGTTTTTGTAACAAGGAGTACACATTATTTATATAATATTATAGGGTGTAAGTAACTCAGTGTTTGAGATTGAACTAGTTGATTGCGAAGAAAAGCCTAGAAATACCCTGCGGAACATCTGTTCATCGCGGCATTTTCCAAACAAAAAATAATTGCTATACTTACTTACTTAGGCGATCCCTCGTTTTCCAAGGAGAATTGTCTTCCAATATTCTTGTGGGTCCGTATGTGGCTGTGGAGCCCTATTCTAAGCATACAAGAAGCTCGGCCTGTCATTGAACATTGAGAAAACCAAAGTGCTGTTCCAGCAGACACCAGCTAACCCTTCTCCAATGCCAGTGATACAGCTTAATGGTGTAACATTAGAAAATGTTGATCATTTCCGCTACCTTGGCAGCCACCTCTCCACCAAAGTCAACATTGACACCGAAATACAACACCGCCTGAGCTCTGCGAGCACATTTTCGAATGAAGCAGAGAGTGTTTGAGGACCGGGACATCTGTAGGGATACCAAGGTGCTTGTTTATAGAGCTATTGTCCTCCCAACCCTGCTATATGCCTGTGAGACGTGGACTGTCTACAGACGTCACATGCAACTCCTGGAACGATTCCATCAGCGCTGCCTCCAGAAAATCCTGCAAATCTCTTGGGAAGACAGGCGGACAAACATCAGCGTGCTGGAAGAAGCCAAGACCACCAGCATTGAAGCAATGGTCCTCCGCCACCAACTCTGCTGGACCGGCCACGTAGTCCGGATGCCCGACCACCGTCTCCCAAAGCAGTTGCTCTACTCCGAACTCAAGAACGGAAAACGGAATGTTGGTGGACAGGAAAAGAGATTTAAAGATGGGCTCAAAGCCAACCTTAAAAACTCTTGCATAGACACTGAGAACTGGGAAGCCCTGGCCCTTGACGCTCCAGCTGGAGGTCAGCTGTGACCAGCAGTGCTGCAGAATTTGAAGAGGCACGAATGAAGGGCGAAAGAGAGAAATGTGCCAAGAGGAAGGCGCGTCAAGCCAACCCCGACCGAGACCGCCTTCCACCTGGAAACCAATGCCCTCACTGCGGAAGAAGATGCAGAGCAAGAATAGGGCTCCACAGCGACATACAGACCCACAAGAATACTGGAAGACAATCCTCCTCGGAAAATGAGGGATCGCTTAAGTAAAGTAAAGTGATCCTTGGTGGGGAAAGGCATTTAAATTAGAATTCTAGTTCTTCAGCTAGATCAGGGGTCCTCAAACTAAGGCCCAGGGGCCAGATACGGCCCTCCAAGGTCATTTACCCGGCCCTCCCTCAGGGTCAACCTAAGTCTGAAACAACTTGAAAGCACACAACAACAACAACAACAACAACAACAAAAAAAGAAGAGGCCAAAAGCAGGCCCACACTTTCCACTGAAATACTAATAAGTTTATATTTCTTAAAATTGTTCTTCATTTTAATTATTGTATTGTTTTAAGTGTTTTTTGCACTACAAATAAGATATGTGCAGTGTGCATAGGAATTCATTCATTTTTTTTCAAATTATAATCCGGCCCTCCAACAGTTTGATGGACTGTGACCTGGCCCTCTGTTTAAAAAGTTTGAGGACCCCTAAGCTAGACATTTCTTGTTCTGAAATTCAATCACAGCTGATATGCTTAAGATTATGAAGACCAGCAAGAAGGACCTGAGGATGAAATCATCAAAATTATTACCGATGAATGTAAAAGAAAATCCCAGTCTGTGGATGTCATCATCAATGTACACATGTTCTTTTACTATTGGTTTAACACACATTTGCACAACGGGATTAAAATGTGGACTCGCAAGCCTTGCATAAAGTGTTAAGACAATCATGCTACTTAATTTGCAACTCTACATATGTCTAACCATCTGGGAGCCTGGACTGGCCTCTCACATATGGATATAGCAACATATGTTTTACAAGGTACAGAAATGTTAATATCTAGTAAGAAACAATTTAGCCTCTGGTCAAAAATAGTTATTTGATACTAGCAAAATATGGAAACTTCATCAAGAAACATTAATTCAAAATAATTTATTCTTTATATAAGCTTGAAGACAATAAGCAAGAGCAACTGATAAAAATACATTTCTCAGACAGCTGCTTTGTAACTGGAAAGTGAAAATCCACCTTCCCCTTATTCATGGCTTAGCAGAAGCACTCTGGGCGGCCTCCTCTCTCCAGCGAGCTTTTCTCTCCATGTTCTGGCTCGTCAGGGATTCATGTCTTCCAACAGCCTACAGACAATTGACAAAGGATGCAAAATAAGAGAGCATAGCTTTCATTTCTAGTGACTTAGCATGAGACTTTTTAAGTGGAACACTGAAATACTGACAAACCAGAGGGATACTGTAATTCAACAACAAAAAGGCACGTTTAAGACGTTTATTTCAGCATGGACTCTATTCTATTGTTGGGTGGAAAATCGACATTTATACAGATTAAAGGTAAAGGTAGTCCCCTGACATTAAGTCCAGTCATGTCTGACTCTGGGGTGTGGTGCTCATCTCCATTTCTAAGCTGAAGAGCCAGCGTTGTCCGTAGACATCTCCAAGGTCATGTGGCCGGCACGACTGCATGGAGCGCTGTTACCTTCCCGCCGGAGCGGTACCTATTGATTTACTCACATTTGCATGTTTTCGAACTGCTAGGTTGGCAGAAGCTAGGGCTGACAGCAGAAGCTCACGCCGCTCCCCGGAATCAAACCTGCGACCTTTCGATCAACAAGCTCAGCAGATCAGTGCTTTAACCCACTGTGCCACCGGGGGTCCCATTTATACAGATTACATAACCAAAATACATGCTCTTAATGAGGAAGGCCTGTATATATTGTGGGAAGGAACTATCCAAAGGTTGAATGTCCACATGTCCAGTTTCCAAATAACACTAACAAGGGTGTTCCGAGATTTAAGCATCACCCCTTTAATAATTTATTTATTAATTTACTTCATTTATATACCGCTTTTCTCAGCCCTCAGGCAACTCAACGCGGTTAACAACAGCAAAATTCAATGCAAAACACCATAAAACGATTATGGGACAGTTAAAACAATAGCATCATCAACAATTAAACATCAATATAAGAATCATTAGCGTCTCATCAGTAAAATCAGAATCCAATCTCATCATCCGTTAATCCATATTCCTATATTCATTACACTGCTTAATCGAATGCTTGTTCGAACAGCCAGGTCTTCACTTTCCTCCGAAACACCAATAGGGATGGGGCCAATCTGATATCTATAGGAAGGGCGTTCCACAGCCGAGGGGGCACCACTGAGAAGGCCCTGTCTCTCGTTCCCGCCAGGCGGGACTGAGAGCAGGACCTCCCTAGATGATCTTAATGTCCTAGTTGGTTCATAGGAGGAGATGCATTCGGAGAGGTAAGTTGGGCCAGAACCGTTTAGGGATTTATAGGCTAACACCAGCACTTTGAATTGTGCCCGGTAGCAAACTGGCAGCCAGTGGAGCTGGCGCAACAGAGGAGTTGTATGCTCCCTGAGTGCCGCTCCTGTTAGTAACCTGGCTGCCGAGCGTTGGACCATTTGAAGCTTCCTAACAGTCTTCAAAGGCAACCCCACGTAGAGAGCGTTGCAGTAGTCTATATGGGATGTAAGCAGAGCATGGACTACCGTGGCCAAGTCAGACTTCCCAAGGTACAGGCGCAGCTGGCGCACAAGTTTTAACTGTGCGAATGCTCCCCTGGTCACCGCTGAAACCTGGGGTTCCAGGCTTTGGTTTGGACTTATCCCAAACAAACTCTGCAAGAACACGCTGCAGACCAGCCCTGCCAAAACTCCTAGTACCCTAACAGAGAAGCAGCCTTTGGACCTAAGTAGGCCACCCTGCAATGAACAACAAGACATTGCTAGTAGATTGGACCACCTCAAGAAAATGATGTTAACTATTAGGGACCAAGCTGAATAATAATAATAATAATAATAATAATAATAATAATAATAATAATAATAATAATAATAATCCTTTATTTATACCCCGCTAACATCTCCCGAAGGACTCAGTACGGCTTACAAGAGGCCGAGGCCCAACACATCAATAAAACAACAGCATAATAAACACAACAATAAAGAAACTCATAAAACAAGCAATAAACATTAAAACAATAGCAATAAACATTAGACAATAACACCATGACACATTTTGATGGCCGAAAGCGAGGAGGAGCTGAGGAGCCTTCTAATCAAGGTGAAAGAAGAAAGCGCAAAAGCCGGGTTGCAGCTAAACGTCAAAAAAACCAAGATTATGGCAACAAGAATGATTGACAACTGGAAAATAGAAGGAGAAACATTGGAGGCCGTGACAGACTTTGTATTTCTAGGGGCAAAGATTACTGCAGATGCAGACTGTAGCCAGGAAATCAGAAGACGCTTACTTCTTGGGAGGAGAGCAATGTCCAGTCTCGATAAAATAGTGAAGAGTAGAGACATCAGACTGACAACAAAGATCCGCCTAGTCAAAGCCATGGTATTCCCTGTAGTGACCTACGGATGTGAGAGCTGGACCTTAGGGAAGGCTGAGCGAAGGAAGATCGATGCTTTTGAACTGTGGTGTTGGAGGAAATTTCTGAGTGCCTTGGACTGCGAGCAGATCCAACCAGTCCATACTTCAAGAAATAAAGCCCGACTGCTCACTGGAGGGAAGAATAGTAGAGGCCAAGTTGAAGTACTTTGGCCACATCATGAGGAGACAGGAAAGCCTAGAGAAGACAATTATGCTGGGGAAAGTGGAAGGCAAAAGGAAGAGGGGCCGACCAAGGGCACGATGGATGGATGGCATCCTTGAAGTGACTGGACTGACCTTGAGGGAGCTGGGGGTGGTAACGGCCGACAGGGAGCTCTGGCGTGGGCTGGTCCATGAGGTCACGAAGAGTCGGAGACGACTGAACGAATGAACACAACAATAGGCCACCCTGCAATGAACAACAAGACATTGCTAGTAGATTGGACCACCTCAAGAAAATGATGTTAACTATTAGGGACCAAGCTGAATAATAATAATAATAATAATAATAATAATAATAATAATAATAATAATAATAATAATAATCCTTTATTTATACCCCGCTAACATCTCCCGAAGGACTCAGTACGGCTTACAAGAGGCCGAGGCCCAACACATCAATAAAACAACAGCATAATAAACACAACAATAAAGAAACTCATAAAACAAGCAATAAACATTAAAACAATAGCAATAAACATTAGACAATAACACCATGACACATTTAAAACTAAGGCCGGGCCAAATGTAATGATTAAAAATTTAAAATGCTGAACATGATAGGTGAGATGGATAGGTTTTTGGAGAAAAGTGCAGTGTGCAGACAATCTTAAAACTCTAGTAAAGTGCATTTGGGACATGATGCTAGGAGTTTCCTATTCTGGGAAGGCACACTGGAACAACCATGTCTTCAAGCTCTTCCTAAAGACTGCCAACGTTGGGGCTCTGTCTGATGTCCTTGGGGAGACAGTTCCAGAGTCAGGGGGCCACCACGGAGAAGGCCCTGTCCCTCGTCCCCACAAATCTTGCTTGCGACGCAGGTGGGATCGTGAGCAGGGCCTCTCCAGATGATCGGAGAGATCGTGTGGGTTCATATATGGAGATGCGGTCATGCAGGTAGGCGGTTCCCAAACCGTTTAGGGCTTTGTGGGTAAGCACCTGCACCTTGAATTGGGACCGGAAAATGAACGGCAGCCAATGGAGCTCCTTAAACAGGAGGCAAACATTCAATGCAGGGACACAAATTCACATACAATACATAAACATTAAAAAACATTTATCAAAATATTAAAATACACCATTTAAAACCATTCTAGCCTTTAATCTGTCTACGACCAATTCTGCTCCCACCTTTCCCACAATACTCACTATAGTAGGCGTTCTTACATTCTCCCTTCTCTGTCTCTATTACATTGTTGTTATTGAATTACTGATCATGAGAGAATTTTTGAGGCTGTCCATTATCTCTCTTCCTCCCATTCTTGATATGTCGACTCTTTTGTACTTACCTGTTTCCCCGAAATAACCATAATTACGCAGCCCACGATTGTCAAACCAATCATCAGATAGCTCATCTGCACACGGATTTTGTTCTTAGCAGAATCTATCGTCTCAAACCTTTAAAGGACAAACATGTTATTGAACCTTAGATGTTGACAATGTCTTATATGTCTGCTAATTAAAAAAAATATCAAAGAAAAGTGTCCCTGTGCTCCATTTGTAAGGAAATGTGATCTTATAGAATAACAACTAAATTTATTATTTTATTTATTTACTGCATTTTACCCTGCTTTATCTCAACCCCGAAGGGGACTCAGGACGGCTTCCAGACTGGCAATATTCAATGCCACATCTATATAAATAAAAATGTAATGTTCATTTGTGGGATTAACAGAACTCAAAAACCACTAGGCCAATTGACACCAAATTTGGACACAGGACATCTAACAACCCAATGTATGTCCTTCACTAAAAAATTGATTTTGTCATTTGGGAGTTGTAGTTGCTGGGATTTATAGTTCACCTACAACCAAAGAACATTCTGAACCCCACCAACGATGGAATTGAACCAAACTTGGCACACAGTTCTCCCAAGACCAACAGAAAATACTGGAAGGGTTTGGTGGGCAGTGTCCTCTGGTTTTGAAGTCGTAGTTCACCTACATCCAAAGATGACTGTGGACTCAAACAATGATGGATCTAGACCAAACTCTACAAGAATACTCAATATGCCCAAATGAGAACACTAGTGGAGTTTGGAGAAAATAGAATCTTGACATTTGGGAGTTGTAGTTCCTGGGATTTATAGTTCACCTACTGTCAAAGAGCATTCTGAACCCCACCAACGATAGAATTGGGGGCCAAACCTCCCATATAGAACCCTCATGTGGGCCACAGCAATGCGTGGCAGGGGACGGCTAGTTAAACATAAAAACATGCAAATACAAATTACAATATACATTAAAATCATAAATACACACTAAGAGGGGAAAATCAAGTACTAATGACCCAGGATCCCTCAATCTGCTCAGAAAGAGGCGGCCCAAAGCTTTTTGAAGAAAAAACTGACCTGAATGTGGCAAAAAGCACAGCAGTGACCCCTCTTTTTAGCTGATTCTCTTATCTTAGATTTGCTTGTTATTAAGACAGGCTCACATTTCTATCACCATGATCGAATCCTGCTAACACGTATAGCACCAAATGATTTATTTCCCACCATGCAACAAAAAGAGGGCTTGCTTTCAGATTTTTAACTGTACTACAGTTGCCATGGCTTACATCAGAAAAAAATCTCCACAGTGGTTGGGGGGGGGGGGGGTACCACTGGTTAAAACGTGCCATTTTTGCAGTGTAAAAGATTTTCACATTAAACAGGACTTGGTTTAAAGGTACACAGGACAGGGGAAGACTATGGATTCAGAGTCCAGAACAGAAAATGAGAAAACAAATCTTCTGCCAGATACACAATCTGAGAAACTCAGCACATTAATTTCTTTCCAAAATTACTCAACCCATGCATGTACAATTTGTATTAAAGTTGAAGTAGCTAAAACTAATCAGCAAAGTGCATGGCACAGCCAATATCCTCTGGAAAATGGAACTACAGTTAGAGGTCAATCACATCTAGAAGTGGACTAACTTGCTTTGTCCTCCAACAAGTCAATATAGAGTGAATAAACTGTAAAAGTTTCCCCATTTCATGATCACTACTGTAGTATACCAATTTAAAAAACTCCATAATCCTTTTACAAAAATTGTCATATCAACTGCAAGTCTGACAAAGAGTAAAGAACTGGGTCAGAGAAGCACATAGTAGCAAACTTCTTGGCAAAGCTTCAATGTTCTTTCCAGTTTATTTTGTTTGGCAGTGAAATTCCAACATACTAAGCTTTGGAAAAACCAATAAGAACAGCTTTCAAAACATCTAGCCAGCATCAACTGAAAACTCAAAGAGAACCTGTATTTATGCACATTGTTATATCAAAAATTGAAACCCGTTTGAAGATGGGCAAATTCAGACTGCTGGCGACCTCTGTTCAAGACATTCAAAGGAAGGAAGAGTGGGAGGAAAAATATAGCAAATAGAATATTTTTTATCTCTTTTTTTTTAAAAAAAGCCAATTGTACTTGAACTATCTTGGATCCCACACTGAGGGATAAATGCAATACATCATCTGGGTGAACAGACTGTAGAAACAAATGGACAGAATTCACAACTCGATTTATACAAGTCAGTTTCATTGGGCCTCCTAATCCATGTGCCTCTTCTCTTTTTTGCCCATTGTTGATTAAATGTTCTAAATTCTCTGAAAAATTCTCTGAACAGCCTGTACTATGCTTTTGGATCATGTGATTTTAATGTTTATATTAATATATTTTAACTCCATGTTTTAATGTTATGTTTTATGATTTTATTGATAGTTTTATTGTTATTTTTATGTCTGTGAGGCATTAAATTTTGCCGTTAATATGTTGGAAACCACTTTGAGTCCCATCCCCCTCAACCTGGGGTGAGAAAAGCCGTATGGAAATGAAGTAAATAAATAAAAACAGGATGTTGTTACCAGAATTACAGACAAAGACATAAGGACAACTTGGACACTATTGTGCTAATTAAAACTGTTGTTTTCTTTTAGTCTTGTACCATTTCTGAGTGTCCTTTTTACTTTGACAAAAAAATAATAATTTTAAAATCACTAAGAAAATACAGATCTTCCTTCCCCTCAAATATGTCCACTTCTACCCTCCACCCCCACAGGAAACTCTTTTAAAATGTTTCACTGAGCTCTGCTAAAGGTCCTCCGCATGTTGCTTTATTTATTATTTATTTATTTATTTGACTTGTATACCGCTACTCCCAATTTGGCTCGGAGTGGTTTACAGCAGTAGATTAAAACAATACAATTAACTTTAAAATACAATAAAAACAAGAACATAGTCCCGAGTTAATCACCCATCGAAAGCGTGTCAGAAGAGAAAGGTTTTACAGGCTTTCCGAAAAGCAAGTAGGTCTCGGATAGATCGGGTTTCAACTGGCAAGGCATTCCATAAATAAGGGGCTACAATCGAGAAGGCTCTCTGCCTAGTCGAGGACAGATGATAAGTCCGGATGTTGGGGACTTCAAACAAATTTTGTTCTTTGGACCGAAGTAATCTCTGGGGTTGGTAGGGGGATAAGCGGGCCCTCAGGTACGCCGGCCCCTTAAAGGTTAGTACCAGCACCTTGAAAGTAATCCAGTACTCAATCGGTAGCCAGTGCAGCTGTTGAAGGATTGGGGTGATACGACACCTCGCCGGCACCCCGGCAAGAAGACGAGCCGCCGCATTTTGCACCAGCTTCAGTTTCCGGATCACTGACAAAGGAAGGCCAATGTAGAGGGCGTTACAGTAGTCAAGCCTTGAGATGACCGTCACCTGGATCACCATAGCTAGGTCGTTCCTAGATAGGTAGGGAGCCAGTCGCCTAGCCTGACGTAGATGGAAAAACGCAGATCTGCTCACAGCAGAGACCTGGGCCTCCATTGTGAGCAGAGGGTCCAATAACACAGCAAGACTCTTTACAGAAGACGACGGACGTAGTGTCTCGCCATCCAGGTAGGCAGCTGGACCTCCCTCCCACCCGGACGGCCCAGCCAAAGGATCTCCGTCTTCGCTGGGTTCACCCTCAACCTGCTGGCACGCAACCATCCAGTAACGGCCTCAAGGCACTGATGGAAATTTTTGGGTACAGAGTCCGGCCGGCACTCCATCCTCAGAATGAGCTGAGTGTCATCAGTGTACTGGTGGCACTCAAGCCCAAAGCTCCGCAACAGTTGGGCAAGCGGTCGCACATAGATGTTAAATAATAGGGGAGAGAGAATAGTTCCCTGCGGGACCCCGCAAGTTAGCGGAGATCTCTCGGAAACCATCCCTTCCCTCACCACACGCTGTCCCCGATTCTGGAGAAAGGAGGACACCCATTTAAGAGGTATCCCCCTAACCCCAGTCATGGCTAGGCAGTGGGTCAATAGATTGTGATCAACCGTATCAAATTCTGCTGTAAGGTCCAACAACACAAGCAGCGCTGATCCGCCTTGATCCATCTGGCAGCGAAGCTGATCTGTGATGGCAACTAGCACAGTCTCCGTCCCGTGCCCCCTACGGAAGCAGGACTGGAAGGGATCGAGTCCGGCCGTGTCATTTAGGAACTGCTGCAACTGTTCCGCTGCTGCCCTCTCAACCACCTTGCCCAGAAACGGAAGGTTCGAGACGGTAGCTAGAGGGAACCGAACGATCTAAGTCTGGTTTTTTCAGCAGTGGACATACCATCGCCTCTTTTAAATCCTCTGGAAAACCTCTTTGCTCAAGGGAGCTATTTATTATATTCAACAGAGGTTCACTTTGGAGTGTGGTAGAGTGTCATTTGGAATTTGTTAAAACAGAGACTGGACAGCCATCTCTCATTGTGCGTTTCCTATGGAGTTGGACTTAATGCTACCTCCTGGTCTCTTCCCCATCCACCAGGGAACGGGGTGTGTGAGTAAACTTTGCTTTTAATTACAGTTGCCCAATTCAATTCAGAAAGATTCAAAACTGGCAACAAGAACTGTACTTACGACACATTTTCAGGTATGTCCTCTGCTTTCTTATATCGGCCTGTCCATAGCAACATTCTCTTCTCTCGTTCAGTGGGCTTGTGTCCTGGGATTTTGAAAGAGGCTCCTACAGAAAGCAAGGAAGAAAAAAAGATGAAGCAATAAGTCCAAACCAAAGACTCCATTTAAATAGCAGTATTGACACAATACAAGTTTCTAAATCAGTTCCCCAAATAACCCTAGGAACAGGGCTAAAATCAAAACAACAAGAAAAAAATATTTTGTTGTTAGACTGATTTTATTTATATATTGATTTATTAATTAATCAATTTTATATACCACCACTCCCTGAAGGCTCGGAGCGGTTCACAATGTACACATGTAATACATAACACTAAAATCAAGGAAACATTCGATCAACAAGGTTCAAATGCCAGCCTACATATATAAGTTTTACAAGCTGTACGAAAGGATAGTAAATCTCGGAGAGCTCGTGTCCCAGCAGGCAAGGCATTCCACAGGTAAGGAGCCACCACCGTAAATGCTCTACGCCTAGTAGACATCAGATTAAAACATACTACTGCATTTGGGTTGGATCTGTACATATGAATGACTAGAGAGCCCTTAATCAAGCATGTATAGATACTGCCTAAGTTTCAGACAGCAGATTAAAAGTTTGTTGATGGAACATAATCGGGTGTACTTAGGCACTGTATGCTATGAGGGGACCCCTGATCAGCGGGTTTGCAAAAACAGGAAACAAAGCTGAATCAAAGATGATAGGAAAATTTGGTCTGGGATCAAGAAATGAAGTGGAAGGCCAGTTGACTAAATTTGGCAAGGGAAAATAGTTTCCTTATTTCAAATGCATTCTTTAAGCAACCAAGGAAGTGACTTTATGCATTATTGGAAGCAGAAAATGGAAACGCTTAATTTGTTTCTGCAAAAACAAGACCAGGAGCATATTGCGGCAAAGACCACAAATAATTACTATCAAAAATAGACTAAAACTAATGAAGAACTCTAAACCAGTCATCATGCTGAAACAGAACTTGAACAATATCCCCATAGACTTTAGAGATATTATGGAAAATATTAAAAATCCTGAATGCAACTACTCAACAATTTGCATGCAGGGACAAGGAGAACTACTGTACTGATCAATGCAGTGAAACAGAAGGTGGCAACAAGAAAAGAAGAACAAGAGACTCCTTCCGCAAACTAGTAGAAGCAGTTTAGCTGATCAGGGCCAGTTCACAGTCCCTCAGACTGTTGGGGGGGGGGGGGGGCAAACTATAGTTTGGGGAGAAAATGATGAACTAATTCCTACTGCACATATAGTACAAAAAAACATGAAAGAACAACACAATATTTAAAATAAAGAACAGTACTAACTAACATAAACTTAACAGTATTTCAATGGAAGACCCCATCCAGTCCAACCCCCTTCTGCCATGCAGGAAAAGCATAATCAAAGCACGCCCAACAGATAGCATTCAGACTTAACAACAACAATAGCAGCAACCCCAGAGGCCATCTAGTCCAACCCACTTCTGCCATGCAGAAAAGCACAATCAAAGCACCCCCGACAGGTGGTCACCCAGCCTCTGTAATAATAGTAATAATAATAGCAGCAGCAACCCCAGAGGCCATTAAGTCCAAACACTTCCTGCATGAAGGAAAAGCACAAGCAAAGCACCTCTGACAGATGGCTATTCAGACTCATAGAATCATAGAATCAAAGAGTTGGAAGAGACCTCATGGGCCATCCAGTCCAACCCCCTGCCAAGAAGCAGGAATATTGCATTCAAATCACCCTGACAGATGGCCATCCAGCCTCTGTTTAAAAGCTTCCAAAGAAGGAGCCTCCACCACACTCCGGGGCAGAGAGTTCCACTGCTGAACGGCTCTCACAGTCAGGAAGTTCTTCCTCATGTTCAGATGGAATCTCCTCTCTTTTAGTTTGAAGCCATTGTTCCGCGTCCTAGTCTCCAGGGAAGCAGAAAACAAGCTTGCTCCCTCCTCCTCCCTGTGGCTTCCTCTCACATATTTATACATGGCTATCATATCTCCTCTCAGCCTTCTCTTCTTCAGGCTAAACATGCCCAGCTCTTTAAGCCGCTCCTCATAGGGCTTGTTCTCCAGACCCTTGATCATTTTAGTCACCCTCCTCTGGACACATTCCAGCTTGTCAATATCTCTCTTGAATTGTGGTGCCCAGAATTGGACACAATATTCCAGGCGTGGTCTAACCAAAGCAGAATAGAGGGGTAGCATGACTTCCCTAGATCTAGACTCAATAACAACAGCAACAATAATAATAGCAGCAATCCCAGGGGATATCCAGTCCATCTCCCTTCTGTTATGCAGGAAAAGCACAATCAAAGTACCTCCTGAGCGGCCCCCTGAGCAGTGAGAGGGAAAGGGCTCTGGATAGCAAGGAGTGAGAGGGTTTAAAGGGTTGCATATTAATCCGGACATGCCCCCATTCCATCACATACTAAAATACAAAGTCTAATTGGAAATATGAGACAAGCAACGCTTGATCCACCAAATACAAATATACACACATTCTGTGCTGTCTAGCCCTACAATTATGTTGAAATTTTGCTAGATGTAAAATAATACCATAAAGTATTTAAATCATTAAGACCAGGAAAAAACATGCAGTGGTCAACTGTAGGCCTGCAAGACCACTAACCAGCTTTTCATAATTGTAAACAAACCTAAGGTTGCAACCCTGTGCACATTTTTTTGGAGAATTAGACCCCTTTGATACATTTCCAATTCTGGACAGACAAAATTTGGTTGCAAATGATGATGATGTTTACCTGAAGCCTCTGGTTTTGACGTCTGTACATTGCTCTCCTGGGGTTTGCTGCATAATCTTCTATTCAGTATGTAACATGATCCTTTAGTAACACGCAGAACAGAAAATAGACTTTTGTCCAGGATCTGAACAACTTTGCCTGGAGGAGAAATGCAAAGAATAGTCATGTAGAATGAAAAGGACAGATCTGGGAAAACAGGTTTCAGATTTGTGAATTTAAATCTAACACATTTTCACTATGGAAGGAGCTCCACTTAAGTCAGAAGAGTCGATGTGCCTACAAGTCACCAGACAATTTAAGGCAATCCCATGAACTTCAGCAAGCAATACCCAGAAGTAGTTTGTCATTGCCTTCCTCTGAATGCAGCCTACAGTCCCAGGGCCCCATACACAATACAGAATTATACCACTGTGGTTCCACTTTAACTGCCATATGCTTTGTGGTTTGAGGTGACACCAGAAAAGCTCTCTCTGCCAAGCCCAGAACTCCACAGGACAGTTAAAGAGGAACAATAGCTCTTATCAGAGAATAGGGAAGCCAATAGTCCTTGTCAGAACAAAGCCTAGAAGCAGATCTTTCCAAACTGTGTGTCGTAACACACTATTAAACAGTTCAGATCCAGGCTATCTAGCTGACCACATCCTCTTGTACGAACCTGCCTGGGCCCTGGGATCTTCAGGAGAGGCCCTTCTCTCAGTGCCACCTCCATCTCAAGCTCGGTTAGTGGGAACGAGAAAGAGGGCCTTCCTTCTTGGTGGTTTTCCTTCATTTTCTTTTTCTATGGTGAATTGGATATTTGGGTGGATGCTCTTAAGGTCGTCCAGGAACCTGTTTAGTTCTTCTTCTCCATGGCTCCAAATGGTGAAAATAACACCCACATATCCACATATGGCATGGCCGCCCGGCAGGTCTGACCCATTTGCTACCCACCTTCGATGGAGCCGCCCTATCTCCATTTACCACTTTTAAGAGCTTAGGTGTTGTCCTGGATTTGCAGCTGACAATGGAAGCTCAAGTTGCTGCTGCCAGCAAACAGGCCTTTTTCCATCTACGACAAGCAAGGCAATTGCCACCCTACCTATCTGACAAGGCTCTGGCAACTGTCATCCATGCCACGGTCACGTCTAGGCTGGACTATTGCAACGCCCTGTATGTTGGCCTTCCGATGTCTACGACCCGAAAGCTCCGTATTGTTCAGAATGCAGCAGCCAGGCTACTCACAAGAATGCCCATGAAATGCCATGTAACACCAGTGCTGCAACATTTACATTGGCTTCCAACTGAGTACCGTGGCCTGTATAAGATGTTAGTTCTGACCTTTAAAATTCTTTATGGCCAGGGCCCATCGTACCTTAGGGACCGCCTCTCCTTCTTCCATCATCGGAGGCTGCAAAGACCAGCACAACGCGACTTACTCTATATACTGGGTCCTAGAGAAGTGCACTTGGAAAGGACCAGACGCAGGGCTTTTTCTATTTCTGCCCCTGCCTTGTGGAATTCCTTGCCGCCCTACATGAGAGCCATGCGTGACTTAGGACCTTTTACTCTAGCACTTAAGACCTGGCTTTTTACTAGAGCATTCGATCTCTGTTAATTTTTAATTTCTGTATTATGTATTTTATCTTTTACAATTTAGCTTGTAAATCGCCACATTTCATTTCCAACAGACTTCACAACCTCTGAGAATGCCTGCCACAGATGCAGGTGAAACATCAGGAGAGAATAGCCCGAAAACAGCCCGAAAAACCTACAACAACCCAGTGATTCCAGCCATGAAAGGCTTCAACAATACAGTTATGCTGATGCATTTATGTTAAGCCGCTTTGAGTCCCATCCGGGGGAGATAAAGCAGGGCATTAATAATAATGATGATGATGATGTGTCGGGTGCAATGTATGGGTGTGTCACACAAATATAAGGAGAATCCGCTGGATCTCTGTGAAATCTTTATCTATAGGCACAATAAAAGTGAAAATATGTGTGTATATGAGTGGCTGGGGCTCCTACTTCCAGAGAGAGACTCCCACGTTCACAAACAGCTATAATTTCCACCACTGAGGAGCTACCAATGGCTCCAATGACATTGCAGGTTATAGTGACACACACATGATTTAAAAACAGTTATTGAAATCACACCATCCAAAATCAATTCCTTAGCCGTTCCATTGGTCCATTCACTATTCCTTATTATCTTATTGCATTACGAACTTTGCTGTTCGAAAGCTTTTTTCCTTTCATTCTGAAGGTCAGGAGGGAGGGGGCTGCTCTAATTTCACTAGAGAGGGAGTTCCATAGCTGAGGGGCCACCACTGAGAAGGCCCTGCCTCTCGTCTCCACCAGTCGCACTTGCGAGGAAGGTGGAATTGAGAGCAGGGCCTCCCCAGAAGAAGTGTGTCACCAACGCGAAATGTTTGGAAAGCTCTGGCCTGAGGACCCTTCCACACAGCCATATAACCCATCTGCAGCAGGCTATCTGTCCAGGGATGACCTAGCTACGGTGATCCAGGGTACGGTCATCTCAAGATTGGACTACTGTAACGGCCTCTACATTGGCCTTCCTCTGTCGGTGATCTGGAAGCTCAAGTTGGTACAAAATGCAGCTGCTCGGCTTCTTGCGGGAATTCCGATGAGATGCCACATAACACCAATCTTACTACAGCTGCATTGGTTACCAATTGAGCACCGGATCACTTTCAAAGTGATGGTACTCACCTTTAAGGCCTTGCATGGTCTGGGGCCGATGTACCTGAGGGACCGCCTCACCCCTACCAACCCCAGAGATCCCTCCGTTCTGAGGACCAAGATCTATTGGAAATTCCCAGTGTCAAGACCTTGCGTCTAACAGCAACCCGACGCAGAGCCTTTACAGCAGTCGGGTATTCAGCCATCACTCTGGAATACTCTGCCAGCTGAAGTCCGGGACTTATCAGCTTTCCGCAGGGCATGTAAGACATATCTATTTTGACGGGCCTTTGATCTTTGATTGCTGTTTTTAAATTGTGTTCAATTTTAGCCTGTTCTTGTAAGCCGCTCCGAGCCCCAGGGGAGTGGCGGCATATAAGTTCAAATAATAAATAAACAAATAGATAAATAAATATCAAGGTGAAAATCCCACAATACCTGCTTTGAACTGGGTTATCTGAGTCCACACTGCCATATGTCCCACTTCAAAGCAGATAATGTGGGCTTTTTCAGCTGTGTGGAAGGAGTCTGAGAGGGCTTAGGCGCCAGGTTCCTCTCTCTTGGAGGCAAGGCAGAGCCAGCACAGGTTGAGACTTGGCTGGGGAGACGATCAACGAAGCCCAAAGGTTCCCAACCTTTGGGCCTCCTGGTGTTTTGGATTTCAACTCCCACAGCTGGTAAGATGGATGGAATTCTGGGTGTTGAAGTCCAAAACAACTGAAGGCCCAAAGGTTGGGAACCACTGAGGGAGGCAGGAACTGGCAGAACTTCCCCAGAGCATTCCTCGCAAAACCCCCGGAAACGCACAAGGCCGCCAACAGGCGCCTCTCTTGGCCGCCTTGACTAGGCCTGGCCGGCTGGATGTTCAGGGCCAGGCATCCTCCCCGCCCCGGAGCCCAAGGCCCAACAGCAACGGGGAGCGCACTCACCAGCGGCGGCCAGGGGGCCCGACATTGCGCTGCTTCCGGCCTTCTCCTCTGCTGCCAGGCGGCCCTCCGACCAAGGCCAGCTGAAGGAAGGCTGGCCCCGCCCCCCGCCCGAGGAGGAGGGGCCGGAAGTGGAGCGGATGGGGCGGGGCCACGCGCCCTTGGCCAAAGGAGGCCGCCTTGCAACCAAAGCTGGGAATGGAGCGCCACTTGGGCCCTCCAGGTGTTTTGGACTCCAACTCCTGGAATTCCTAACAGCCAGTTGGTACTCTCCATTGGTACTCAATTTGCAGGATCCCAATTGAACACCAATGGAGAGAGAATAAAACACTGAAATGTCCATGGTAGACGAAACACATAAAACCTAAGATTAAATTGTCCCGGTTTGAAAGCATTCACTTGGGTGGTGCAAAGTATTGTGTTTTGTGGAGCACATTGGTAGGACTATATCCTGTGCTGGTCAATGACCAAAATAAATGATTTGATTTGATTTGACATAACCAGCATGTCTATATTGTCTTAGGAATCCGCTTTAATGTATCAGCCCACTACAAACCCAAGTACTGATACTTGCCCAATTACAGTGATGAGGAGATATTGGGAAAATATAGATATTTATTGATTGATCTATGCATAAAATCATATGTACTTTAAATGTATAGGAAAATCTAGTTCCCTCTGTGTAGCTGACAGGCAAGCAAGCTGCTTGTCTCCAAAAGGGGCTGAAGAGGAAGGGGGGCATGCATTCCAGAAGAGAGATAAGACAGGCTGGTACGAGAAGGCCACCGCCTTCCCTCTAAGTAAGAAGCCTCTTGACATCTTAGGAAGTGGCCTCTTGATTGATGACTGCAAAAATGCCTGCTCTTCAGCTAGACACAGAGACATGTTTTTGCATGTTGGAGGTTGGAACCTGATATTCTTATGATGCTCAGATGACGTAGGGATGACGATGATATATGTTATAGTATGTTCTTTGTCTACTTGAGTCTGAAACTTATAAAAGGCCAGTCCGCACCTTGATCGCGGCTGGTGTGATTAGAGGTGACTCCACACCAGGCTCCAGCTGGATAAATAAACGTGCTTTAAAGTCTCCAGACCTCTCTCTGTGTCTCCTTTCATCAAACCGCTCCTGCTACTACAACAGAAAACCCACACACACAGATAGATATCTACATAAAAACTCCAACCATCGGCCAAGTCAAGAAAGAAGCACCATTAAAGCCTTGGCAGACCGTGCAAAAAGAATCTGCGAACCCCACCTCCTCCAAGATGAACTGAACCACCTCAACTGGGCTCTCCAGGCCAATGGATACTCCACCTCAGACATCAGAAGAGCTGCAAGACCAAGAACAAGCCACAAGAGTAAAGATGAAGATCCATCCAGAGGAAAAGTGTTCCTGCCATACATCAAGGGAACCACTGACCGCATAGGGAAGCTGAGGAAGAAACACAACATACAAACTATCTACAGACCCACCAAGAAAATCCAACAAATGCTACGTTCAGCAAAGGACAAGAGGGATCCTCTCACTTCTGCAGGAGTCTACCGTATACCATGCAGCTGTGGACAAGTCTACATAGGGACCACCAAATGCAGCATTGCCCAAACACGAATCAAGGAACATGAAAGGCACTGCAGACTCCTTCAACCAGAGAAGTCAGCCATAGCAGAGCACCTGATGAACCAACCTGGACACAGCATATTATTTGAGAACACAGAAATGCTGGACACTCTCACAACCACCATGTCAGACTACATGGTGGCTTCAATGGCTACTAGAGAAGCCATTGAAATCCACAAGCATATGGACAATTTCAACAGAAAGGAGGAAACCATGAAAATGAACAAAATCTGGCTACCAGTATTAAAAAACTCTAAAATTACAACAGCACAACAACAGAGAGGAAACAAACAAGGACATCTAATCACCTCTCAACAAAAGTTTGCTCTAGGCACTGTCAAGCCATTATATGCTAATCAAGGTGGTCAATTGAAACATTCACACCTAGCTCCAGCAGACAAGAGTCCTTTGTCTCACCCTGGTCATATAATAATACATATAAACCCTTTTTCCTAGTTCCAACAGACCTCACTACCTCTGAGGATGCTTGCCATAGATGCAGGCGAAACGTCAGGAGAGAATGCCTCTAGACCATGGCCATATATGTGGGGTTGCCTTTGAAGACTGTTATAATGTTATGTTTGGGGGTCACCACAACATGAGGAACTGGATTAAGGGGTCATGGCATTAGGAAGGTTGAGAAACACTGCCCTAGAATAACAGAATCATAGAGTTGGAAGAGATCTCATGGGCCCTCTAATCCAAACCCCTTCCCAAGATGCAGGAAAATTGCGTCAAAGCACCCGACAGATGGCCATCAAGCCTCTGCTTAAAAGCTTCCAAAGGAGCCTCCACCACACTCCGGGACAGAGAGTTCCACTGCTGAACGGCTCTCACAGTCTGATTGTTCTTCCTCATGTTTATTTATTTATTTATTTATTTGCTTTACTTCTATACCGCTTTTCTCAGCCAAAATGGCAACTCAAAGCGGTTTACATAATACAAGTTATCACAACAATATCCAGGCAATTAAAAAACATTATACAAGACATACAAGGTCAAAAAACAATCATTATCATAATCGTAGCGCCTCAGCAACAAATCAGAATCAGAATCCGTAATCATAATCCTTTGTACCAATTCCTATGTTCGGTTGTACCATCTTCCTGTATTCCATTGCACTATTTAGCCAAACGCTTGTTCATAAAGCCAAGTCTTGACCTTCCTCCGGAACGCCAGCGAAGGGGCCTGTCTGATGTCCACAGGTAGGGCATTCCACAGCCGAGGGGCCACCACCGAGAAGGCCCTGTCCCTCGTCCCCGCCAAGCGCGCCTGCGATGCGGGCGGGATCGAGAGCAGGGCCTCCCCAGACGATCTTAATGTCCTAGTCGGTTCATAGGTGGAGATGCGTTCGGAGAGGTAAGTAGGGCCGGAACCATTTAGGGCTTTATAGGCTAAAGCCAGCACCTTGAATTGTGCCCGGTAGCAGATTGGCAGCCAGTGGAGCTGGCGCAACAGAGGAGTGGTGTGCTCCCTGAGTGCCGCTCCTGTCAGTAACCTGGCTGCCGAGCGTTGGATCATTTGAAGCTTCCGATGGAATTTCCTCTCTTGTAGTTTGCTCCACGTCCTAGTCTCCAGGGCATCATCATCATCATCATCATCATCATTTAATTACTTATTAATCACCCTCCATCCAAGATGCTCTAGGCCAGTGTTTCTCAACCTTCCTAATGCCGTGACCCCTTAATACCATTCCTCATGTTGTGGTGACCCTCAACCATAACATTATTTTTTGTTGCTACTTCACAACTGTGATTTTGCTACTGTTATGAACTGTAATGTAAATATCTGATATGCAGGATGTATTTTCATTCACTGGACCAAATTTGGCACAAATACCCAATACGACCAAATTTGAATACTGGTGGGGTTCAGACAAATTGATTTTGGGAGTTATAGTTGCTGGGATTGATAGTCCACCCATAATCAAAGAGCATTCTGAACTCCACCAATGGTGAAATGGAACCAAACTTGGCATACACAACTCCCATGACCAATAGAAAATATTGGAAGGGTTTGGTGGGCATTGACCTTGAGTTTTGGAGTTGTAGTTCACCTACATCCAGAGAGCACTGTGGACTCAAAGAATGATGGATCTGGACCAAACTTGACACAGATACTCCATATGTCCAAATGTGAACACTGGTGGGAGTTTGGGGAAAAATAGAACTTGACATATGGGAGCTGTAGTTGCTGGGATTTATAATTCACCTACAATCAAAGAGCATTCTGAACCCCACCAATGATAGAATTGTGCCAAACTTACCACACAGAACCCCTATGACCAACAGAAAATACTGTGTTTTCTAATGGTCTTTGGCAACCCCTCAGATACACCCTCACCCCCAGGTTGAGAAATCCTGCTCTAGGCGATTTAAAAGCTAAAATTGTAAAGGATTAAAATATATACATACAGATATTGATAAAATTAAAGCAGAAAACAAGCTTGCTCCCTCCTCCCTGTGACTTCCTCTCACACATTTATACATGGCTATCATATCTCCTCTCAGGCTTCTCTATATCAGGCTAAGCATGCCCAGCTCTTTAAGCCGCTCCTCATAGGACTTGTTCTCCAGACCCTTGATCATTTTAGTCGCCCTCCTCTGGACACATTCCAGCTAGTTGAGGCCTGTGGCCACGCAAGTACTCTACACTGACTATTTAGAACACTTTGAAGCCAGCTTCAAACTGCTTTGGCCTGACAACAAATCCCCACAGCCACAGAAGCACATGAAAGCATGCCCTTAACGCGCCTCAGTGCCCTGTAGTTCACCCTCGAAGCCTGGAAAAGGCGGAAGCTGACACAAGTGACCTAAAGCTCAGTGGTGCCACCTCCTCCCGCCCATTTGTCTGCGCAGGCGCAGAAGCCGTAGCCTCGTCCTCCCTCAATTCAATCTCGAGGGGGGAGGAGCTACTCTTGCGCCGCCGCGCTCGCTGATTGGCTCTCGTCGTGACTCTCCAATATGGCGGCGCCCAACTCTCATCCAAACTGTGAGGACTTTGCTGAATTCCAGGTATGGCCCCGGAGGCTGTTTCTCCGGAGCGAGGAGGCCATGAGGACACGGGACAGGAGTCGGTGGCCCTCTCCCGGCCCCTGGATCGTGTAGTTCAAACATCCTAGAAGTATTAGAAGGGGCTCCCGAAGGCCAGCCGAGCCAACTCCCTTCTTGCCAGGCAGGGAGGCACAAGCCACATCCGCCCCACAGATGTCCAGGCCCTTTCTACACTGCTATGTAGCCAGAATAGCAAAGCAGATAATCCACATTATCGGCTTTGAACTGGATTATCTGAGTCTACACTACTAGATAATCCAGTTCAAACCAGATAATCTTCAATGTATTGTCGAAGGCTTTCATGGCCAGAATCACTGGGTTGTTGTAGGTTTTTTTGGGCTATATGGCCATTGTCTAGAGGCATTCTCTCCTGACGTTTCGCCTGCATCTATGGCAAGCATCCTCAAGGTTAGTGAGGTCTGTTGGAATTGGGAAAAGGGTTTATCTGTGGAATGACCAGGGTGGGACAAAGGACTCTTATCTGCTGGAGCTAGGTGTGAATGTTTCAACTGACCACCTTGATTAGCATGCAATGGGCTGACTGTGCCTGGAGCAAACTTTTGTTGAGAGGTGATTAGATGTCCTTGTTTGTTTCCTCTCTGTTGTTGTGCTATTGCAATTTTAGAGTTTTTTTTTAATACTATATAACATTATTGTGTATTGAACCCATGAGGTCTATGGCAAGCATCCTCAGAGGTAGTGAGGTCTGTTGGAACTAGGAAAAAGGGTTTATATACCTGTGGAACTGTGGTGCTGGAGGAAAGTACTGAGAGTGCCTTGGACTGCGAGAAGATCCAACCAGTCCATACTTCAGGAAATAAAGCCGGACTGCTCATTGGAGGGAAGGGTATTAGAGGCCAAGCTGAAGTACTTTGGCCACATCATGAAGGGACAGCAAAGCCTAGAGAAGACAATGATGCTGGGGAAGGTGGAAGGTAAAAGGAAAAGGGGCTGACCAAGGGCAAGATGGATGGATGGCATCCTTGAAGTGACTGGACTGACTTTGAAGGAGCTGGGGGTGGTGACGGCCGACAGGGAGCTCTGGCATGGGCTGGTCCATGAGGTCACGAAGAGTCGGAGACGACTGAACGAATGAACAACATACCTGTGGAAACCATGAAAATGAACAAAATCTGGCTACCAGTATCAAAAAAAACTCTAAAATTGCAACAGCACAACAACAGAGAGGAAACAAACAAGGACATCTCATCACCTCTCAACAAAAGTTGGCTCCAGGCACTATCAGGCCAATCAAGGTGATCAGTTGAAACATTCACAACTAGCTCCAGCAGACAAGAGTCCTTTGTCTCACCCTGGTCATTCCACAGGTATATAAACCCTTTTTTCTAGTTCCAACAGACCTCACTACATCTGAGGTTGCTTGCCATAAATGCAAGCGAAACGTCAGGAGAGAATGCCTCTAGACCATGGCCATATAGCCCGAAAAAACCTACAACAACCCAGATAATCTTCCTTCCACACCTGGAATATTGTGTCCAGTTCTGGGCACCACAGTTGAAGAAAGATATTGACAAGCTTGAATGTATCCAGAGGAGGGCGACTCAAATGATCAAGAGTCTGGAGAACAAGCCCTATGAAGAGCAGTTTAAAGAGCTGGGCATGTTCTCAAGGCTGAGAGGAGACATGATAGCCATGTGAGATGAAGCCACAGGGAGGAGGGAGCAAGCTTGTTTTCTGCTTCCCTGGAGACTAGGACACGAAACAATGGCTTCAAACTACAAGAAAGGAGATTCCATCTAAACATAAGGAAGAACTTCCTGACTGTGAGAGCCGTTCAACAGTGGAACTCTCTGCCCCAGAATGTGGTGGAGACTCCTTCTTTGGAAGCTTTTAAACAGACGCTGAATGGCCATCTGTCGGGGGTGCTTTGAATGCAGGTTTCCTGCTTCTTGGCAGGGGGTTGGACTGGATGGCCCACGAGGTCTCTTCCAACTCTATGATCAGATACAAGATTATATGGCAGTGTAGAAGGGGCTTCGGCCTCTGCTCCAGAGAAGGAGCATTCCGATACATTCAGTCATTTTACACAGATTCAGACACTTCTCCCAGAGCCCTTCCACTCAGCCATGTAACCCAGAATATCAAGGCAGATAATCCACAATATCTACTTTGACCTGGGTTATCTGAGGGCCCTTCCACACAACTGAATAAAATCCCACATTATCTGCTTTGTACTGGGTTATATTGCAGCGTGGACTCAGATAACATAGTTCAGAGCAGATATTGTGGGATTTTCTGCCTTGATGTTCTGGGATATAGGCCTGTGTCGAAGGGCTCTGAGTCCACACTGCCATATAAACCAGTACAAAGCAGATAATGTGGGATTTTATACAAGAAAGAGACCCCAGAATGTCAAGGCAGAAAATCCCACAATATTGTCTTAGAATTGAGGCCCCTTCTACACTGCTGTTTAAAATCCCACATTTTCTAATTTGAACTGGATTATATGGCAGTGTAGACGCAGATATCTCAATTCAAAGCAGATATTTTGGATTACCTGTGTATCTTTGGATAGCATAGGGAAGAGTTTACACTCCTGTGGCGTTTGTTTTGCTGTTCAGAAGATTTGACCTCACTTTCTGTTCATGTGCCAATTGGAACTTGAAAATTTGGCTTGTTGTGGAAAAAAGGTTTGGTGAAAAAGCTTTAGTGGAGACACCTTTTCTCCATGATAACTCTTTCAGGAGTGAATTGCCCTTTTGAGGGACACATTTCTCTGACTTCCTGTTGTCTCAGCCTGTTCTTAACTATGAGTCATTTGTAAGTTAGATGTGTGTAACTCAAATTGTTAAAAATCTGTTATTAATTTATCTCTACAGGAATTGCTCAGAGTGATGAGAACAATTGATGACAGAATAGTCCATGAGTTAAATACTACTGTTCCAACATTATCTTTTGTAGGAAAAATTGATGCTCGCCAAACTTGTAAAGAGCTTCACCAGTCGGTAAATATCTTTGTTGTCCTTCTCTCATATAGGCCCGTTTTAAAATATATGTTATCAGGCCGTAACTGACATGTCAAAAAGTAATGATGAACATAATTGACTTTGATATCATTTCAATGTTCTTATGCTCATTCTGTCTTATATTATATCCCTCAAAAGATAAGTTCTTATACACATTTTATGCTTTGGAGATAGTTGCTGTGAACTTGAGGTATATGTTACATTGTCCTAAGCGCTGTTTGCAATCATGGCTAAGAGGTTGGGGATTATGCGTGCAAATGTCAGCCACAACAAACAAAATCCACAGGGGCAGGATGAGGAATACAGCTGTACATGTGAAAAAAATTGGGATTATGGTTGATTGTATCTGAACATGAGCCAGCAACTTATTTATTTATCGTGTCAGGGGCAAACCAAACAGTTGCGTTGCATTTTTTAACAAACAAACAAACAAAACACAAAGTTTGCAGGCTTGGTAGTTTATCGTGTCATCAGCAACCATACCATTGTATTACATTTCTAACAGAACAAAACAAGCAAACAGATTAAAAAAGCACAAATTTTGCAAACTTGGTAGTTGATTAAATGTCCTTTGAGCAGTATCTGGCCACTTGGAGTGCCTCTGGTGTTGCCGCAAGGAGATCCTCCATTGTGCATGTGGCAGGGCTCAGGTTGCATTGCAGCAGGTGGTCAGTGGTTTGTTCTTCTCCACACTCGCATGTCGTGGATTCCACTTTGTAGCCCCATTTCTGAAGGTTGGCTCTGCATCTCGTGGTGCTAGAGCGCAGTGTGTTCAGCGCCTTCCAAGTCGCCCAGTCTTCTGTGTGCCCAGGGGGGAGTCTCTCCTTTGGTATCAGCCATTGAGGTTCTGGGTTTGAGCCTGCCACTTTTGGACTCTCGCTTGCTGAGGTGTTCCAGCAAGTGTCTCTGTAGATCTTAGAAAACTATTTCTTGATTTAAGTCGTTGACGTGCTGGCTGATACCCAAACAGGGGATGAGCTGGAGATGTCACTGCCTTGGTCTTTCACTATTGGCTGCTACTTCCCGGCAGATGTCAGGTGGTGCAATACTGGCTAAACAGTGTAATTTCTCCAGTGGTGTATGGTGCAGACACCCCATGATAATGCGGCATGTTTCATTAAGAGCCACATCTACTGTTTAGCATGGTGAGATGTGTTCCACACTGGGCATGCATACTCAGCCAGCAATGTGATGCTGCAACAAAAAAGGCAAATGCTATCTCAGCCTGCATTAGTAGAAGCATAGTTTCCATGTATACCCATGTATAAATATGTGAGAGGAAGCCACAGGGAGGAGGGAGCAAGCTTGTTTTCTGCTTCCTTGGAGACTAGGACGCGGAACAATGGCTTCAAACTACAAGAAAGGAGATTCCATCTGAACATGAGGAAGAACTTCCTGACTGTGAGAGCCGTTCAGCAGTGGAACTCTCTGCCCCGGAGTGTGGTGGAGGCTCCTTCTTTGGAAGCTTTTAAACAGAGGCTGGATGGCCATCTGTCGGGGGTGATTTGAATGCAATATTCCTGCTTCTTGGCAGAATGGGGTTGGACTGGATGGCCCATGAGGTTGATTCCAATTCTTTGATTCTATGATTCTATGAAAACACAGCTGACGTAAAGCCGCAAACAGTTCAGTCAGGACTAAGTGTATTCTGTCATACTGTATTTGTTCATTTATTTGTTAACTGGCTGTTGATTGCAAAGGTAGCTTATTAGGAGTGCTTGACACAGTAGCCTTTTGCTTTGCAGACCTCCCTTATCAATTTCCATAGTACATTTATAATAATTAACTGTGAATCCTGAGGTATCAGAAATTGCAGTATGCCTGAAGCCACCCATTCATCCTCTTACAGAAAGTGAACAGAGTGCTATTTTTTTCTTCATGACGTGTTTTTGTGGGTGTGTGGGTATGTCAGTGAATAACAGTGTACTTCCCTTTGAGGTAGTCAACTTGGTTCATGCTATCAACATCATTCTCTCAGTCTTCACTTTTTAGAAAAAATATTTTTATTATTTCTCTCAGTCTTTAAAGTGCTACAAAATCTCTTCAGCATTCATAGTCTGTGAATTGGATTTTAAGTCCAATTCACCTTTAACTATTCTTCTATTTTAATTAATTTCTAATTTGATTGCATTGTTTACATATTTTTGTGTGTTCTTTATCATTATTTCTTTAGCTGTCAGAGGCTCATGAAAGTAGAGACAGAATAATCAAAAGCTGTATTGCCCAAACATCTAATGTAGTAAAGACTTTGCAAGAAGAGAGGAAGAAATCTCTGGAAGACATAACTTTATTAAAAAGGCTCAGGAAAGAACAGACAAAGGTGAGTATCAGAGTTATATACTGAGTATTCTTATATGCAAAATATATTTATATTATATACTAGCTGTACCCATCATACATTGCTGTGGCCAATCTTCCCTCCCTCTTGCTCTCCTTCCTTCCCTCCCTCCTCCCTCTTTCCTTCTCTCCTTCCTTCCTTCTCTACCTCTTTCCTTCCTTCATTTTCCTCTCTTTTTCTTTCTCTCCTTTCTTCCTTCTCTACTTATTCTTGGACTGCAACTCCTAGCAGTCATCCTGATTGATTTATCTACCTACTATCTATCTCTATCTAATCTACGAGGGGTATTTTTTAAGTAAGGTGCGTTGGAACATAAGTACACAACGAAAGTTTATTTCAAAAAAGTAAATTTATTTTCAGGAAGTACATACTTCACTCTATTTTTCGACATAGTTGCCAAGTTTGTTCAAACACTTATCATACCTCTGAACCAATTTTAAAATACCCTCTTCATAAAAACTTGCCACCACCAAATCGTCTGTAATCAAAGAAGGGCGACCGGAGTGGTCCTCATCATGGACGTTGTCACGGCCATCTTTGAATTGTCGTACCCACTTACGCACTTTGCTTTCATTCATAACGGTATCACCGTACACTTCACAAATCTGTCGATGTATTTCTGCAGCAGGCAGGTTCCTTGCTGACAAAAACCGTATCACTGAGCGAACCTCACATGCGGAGGGTGAGTTGATAGTCTTAAACATTTTTAAAGCACAGAACAGAACCGTACAGGTTAGCTACAGAGCGGAAACTGAGCACAGTTGTTCCCGAGGCATGCCGGTACACAACGCACGCGCTCGTTGCGTATGCGCGCGAACTACTAGTGTCTACAACAAAACGGACCTTACTTAAAAAATACCCCTCGTATATATCTTACTATCTGGAGGATTGCTGGGAGTTGCAGTCCAGAATAGGAAATTGGAAATATGCAGGGATTGAGATGCTCTCAAAGAAATCCAAGAAGAAAGCTTGCATCTTGGAAGCAGTGCATTTGGATCCTCCTTCTCTCCTAAAGGGCCGGGTCTAGGAGATGCTGGGAGCTGTAGTCCAGAAGAGAGTGTGGATATGTTTTTGTGTGTTTTGTTTGCCAGGGGAGTCGGTTTTGTGCATGCACTGTAGTGCCTTTTTGATTTTTTGGCTTTTAAGTCCCTTCCGCTGTGTTTTTCAGTGTTTTTCTGAGTGATGGCCACTCATTGGCCTAGTAAGTGCATTGTGTCTAAATTTTGTGTCAATTCGTTCAGTGTTTTTTTGAGTTATGTTAATCCCACAAACCAACATTACCTTTTTATTTATACAGATATAAATTTTATATGTGAAATAACATTCTAAGGGGGAAAGAAAACAAATACAAACCTTAGTTCATAGCCATGATAAAAAGATGTGATCATTATTCCAAGATGAGACAAATGAACATCGGTTATTACAAACCTATTTGTAACATCATATTTATTATTATTTATTTATTTACCTTACTTATATACCGCTGTTCTAAGCCCGAAGGCGACTCACAGCGGTTCACAACAAATACAACAGCAAAAATTCAGTGCTACAGTATAGAAACAGTAACAACCTAACACATTACACAATTAATAAACAGTTACTACAATACCCATTCACTGTCGTCTCGTCATCAAAAACATGTTCCAGATTCGTCATCCATTGTTCCATTCCAGTGTTCATTAACCAATCATTGCACTAATTATTCGAACGCCTGCTCAAACAGCCAGGTCTTCACTTTTTTGCGGAATACAATTAGAGATGGTGCTAGTCTAATGTCCGTAGGAAGGGCGTTCCACAGCCGAGGAGCCACCACCGAGAAGGCCCTATCTCTCGTCCCCACCAGCCGTGCTTGAGAAGCATATCCTTCTGTGGTATAATAATGATTTGTTAGTGACATCCTTTCTGCCACACTCCAGATTCTGGAAAAATAGCTGCATCAAACACTGCTGTTTAAATTGTTGACGTAGCAAAGATTCCACAGGAAGGGAAGAAGAAATATCTCGAGGATGTAGCATTATTTTTAAAAAGACTCATAAAGGAGAACAAGCTAAAACCAGTTGCCAACTAACTTGCTACATATAAAAATTTGTGACAATTTCTATAGCAATCTCTCACAAGTTGCAGAAAATAATATTAATTAGGTCCTATGAGAATTAATATCTTCAACTTCTGGAATCTTTTTGGAATGTCAATTTCCAGTCAAACTTCCTACCATGCAGAAAAATACAATCAAAGCACTCTCAACAGATGGCTATCCAGCCTCTGCTTAAAAACATCCAGAGAAAGACACCCCACTATGTTCTGAGACAGCAAGTTCCATCTTGATTGGATTAATATTGTTTCATAAATTGCAAGTTCACAGGGAGAGTTAGAATTGAAAGATCTAGTTTGTCTTCTGCCCTACTTAGTCAGGCTGTCATAATCAATTTCTTTTTTGAGACAGTGGTTTTGCTCTCAAAAGAACAGTGAGGAAAGTTTCTGTATGTACCAGTGGATCTCGGCTCATTCTGGAAGAGGGTGAGGTAGAGAGAAAACTCACCCATTCTGAGGAATAGAATCTCTATAAATAAAAATGTAATGTTCATTTGTGGGATTAACAGAACTCAAAAACCACTGGACGAATTGCCTCCAAATTTGGCAGCAAAACACATTCTAATCCGATCTATGTCTTTCAAAGAAAAAAACTTAAAAACTTTAAAACTCCCCAAAAAGAAAAATGCCTTACAGAGCATGCGCAAAAGCCCCTCTCCCCATTGCGCGAGAAGAATGAAGCACCAACCGTTGTGAGGGAAGAGAAGCCTCACCATGGAGTCCCTTTCCATGCAGGAAGGCAGAGTCCTTTTTCTTTTGGGGAGGGATTGAGGAAAGGAAAGAGGGAAGGAAGGAGAAAGCCTGGCCCAACGGAGGGGTGGGGGCTTGGCGAGGCAAGCCCCGGCAGCAGCTGGAGCCACCGCAGCAGCTCCATGAGGCCCACGTGGCTACCAGGCAACTCTTCCCCCAAGACCAGAGGATTGCAAGGCAAGCCTGACTGCAGGAGGGCTACACCCCCACCCCTACGTTGGGTGAAGGGAGGATGTGAACCATGAGAAGGCCAGCAACTCTCCCACTTGGGCTCCACATCCCCCCTTTCACCCCCCCCCCAAAAAAAACCCTTAACAAACTGTCCCGGAGGAAGGAGGGGAGAAAGGGAAAGGAGAGAAGAAAGGAAGAAAAGGATTGGTGAAGAGAAGATTATGAATGGAAGGAAAGGTAGAAGGAAAGAAAGAGGAAGGAAGGGAAAGGAGGCAGGGATGGGAGAGGAAAGGAAGGAAGGAAGAGAAAGGGAAAAAGGAATTATTATTATTATTAAGGAAGGAAGGAAGGAAGGAAGGGAAAGAAGGAAGGAAGGAAAGAAAGAAAGAAAGAAAGAAAGAAAGGAAAGAAAGAAAGAAAGAAAGAAAGGAAAGAAAGAAAGAAGGAAGGAAGGAAGGAAGGAAGGAAGGAAGGAAGGAAGGAAGGAAGGAAGGAAGGAAGGAAGGAAGGAAGGAAGGAAGGAAGGAAAGAAAGAAACTGGTGAAGGGAAGAGAGGAATATAGAATCAGAGAGTCCTAGAGTTGGGAGACACCTGGTGGACCACCCAGGCCAACCCCATTCTGTGAAGCAGGAAAGTCACATTCAAAGCACCCCCAACAGATGGCCACCCAGCCTCTGTTTCAAAGAGGCTTTTTTCAGTGTTTTGGCCAACATGAATATAACTGAAAAGGCTTGCAGTATCAGTGGCTGCTTCTCATTACTTTATTTTCCATACCAACTTGCACCTTAACACTTTCTACTACTAGCCAGCAGGACACTGTAGGGGGGAGGAGTTTCCTAGCCCAAATTGCTTCATGTCTGTGAATCCTGTTTTCTGAGGGCCACAGCAATGTGTGGCCGGGTACAGCTAGTATGTGATAAATCTGATGTTTATAAGTTGGGGATTGTGCAAAATTCATCATCATCATCATCATCATCATCATCATCATCATCATCATGCTCTTTCAAGTTTGGTCGCCAGTGATATAATTAAATTGCACATTTGCATGAAAGGATTCCCTTACTGAGTGGTGGGTATAGGACAGGAAAATCCTTTGTAGTTAGAAGCGATCCTCTCATTATGTTCCACTTTTCAAGAAGAAGATTTCAGCTTTGACATGCCTTTGTCAGATAGGGAAGGATTTGTTCACCATTTCTCTTCTCTGAGATAAATCCATCTATCCTGCAAAATCCCTAAAACAGCTAATACTTTTTTCTTCTCTTCTGTAGTTGAAATTAATGCAATCAGAACTGAATGTTGAAGAAGTGGTAAACGATAGAAGCTGGAAGGTATGGAGGTACACCTGATTCAAGACTTTGCATCTGTCTGAATTTTTGTTACAACACATTAAGATTACAATACTTTAGAAAAGATGCATGGAAAATGGAAGCAATATACTAATCCAAAATGAGCTCAAATAGCAAGAAAATATTGGGTTGTTGTAGGTTTTTTCGGGCTATATGGCCATGGTCTAGAGGCATTATCTCCTGACGTTTCGCCTGCATCTATGGCAAGCATCCTCAGAGGTAGTGAGGTCTGTTGGAACTAGGAAAAATGGGTTTATATATCTGTGGAATGACCAGGGTGGGACAAAGGACTCTTGTCTGTTGGAGCTAGGTGTGAATGTTTCAACTGACCACCTTGATTAGCATTTGATGGCCTGGCAGTGCCTGGGGCAATCTTTTGTTGAGATGTGATTAGATGTCCTTGTTTGTTTCCATTGTGGATTTCAATGGCTTCTCTGTGTAGTCTGACATGGTGGTTGTTAGAGTGGTCCAGCATTTCTGCCAATGAAATCCACAAGCATGTGGACAATTTCAACAGAAAGGAAGAAACCATGAAAATGAACAAAATCTGGCTACCAGTATTAAAAAACTCTAAAATTATAACAGTAAATAAAGAAGAAAACTCAAACACAGGGGAACTCCAGACAAGAAACAATCAGGTACACCTAATCACCTCTCAACAAAGGAATTTCCCAGGCAGTAACAAGACACACCTAAAAGCTGGCTACCAGTATTAAAAAAAACCTCTAAAATTACAACAGAAAAACAACAGAGAGGAAACAATCAGGAACATCTAATCACCTCTCAACAAAAGATTGCCCCAGGTACTGCCAGGCCATCAAATGCTAATCAAGGTTCTCAATTAATGTGAGAACACTTTCCTGCCTGTTTTGATTTGGAGTGTTTGGAAAAGTTATTCAGTTTGTTCTCTGTATCCATGGATTCTGCATTCACGAATTCCACTATTCACAGTTTGGAAATATCCCCCCCTTTCCAGAAAAACTCCTTGATTTTGACATCTATATAAATAAAAATGTAATGTTCATTTGTGGGATTAACAGTACTCAAAAACCACTGGGGGAATTGACACCAAATTTGGACAACATACACCTAATAACCCAATGTATGTCCTTCAATCAAAAAAATTGAGTTTGTCATTTGGGAGTTGTAGTTGCTGGGATTTATAGTTCACCTACAATCAAAGAGCATTTTGAACTCCACCAATGATGGAATTGAAGCAATCTTGGCAGATAGGACTCCCATGACCAACAGAAAACACTAGAAGGGTTTGGTGGGCATTGACCTTGAGTTTGGGAGTTGTAGTTCACCTACATCCAGAGAGCACTGTGGACTCAAACAGTGATGGATGTGGACCAAACTTGGCACAAATACTTAATATGCCTAAATATGAACACAGATGGAGTTTGGGGAAAATAGACCTTGAGTTTCGGAGTTGTAGTTCCTGGGATTTATAGTTCACCTACAATCAAAGAGCATTCTGAACACCACCAATGACAGAATTGGGGCAAACTTCCCACACAGAACCCCCACGACCAACAGAAAATACTTAAGGCCATCCAGTCCAACTTCCTTCACCAGGGCAAGAAAACGTAATCAAAGCCCTCTTGACAAAGAGCCATCCAGCCATAGATATGGATAGATAGGTATGAGTCACACACAGAGAGATATAGTATCATAGATTTGAAAGGGACCCCTAAAGAAGGACAATTATATGTTGCATGTTCCAGACCAAACAATCTCCACATCAACACTGACAAAGAAACAACAAGTAATACTGTTTACCCACAAGAAGAAAGGAATTACATAGATTAGAAACCATTACTTTATTTTCCAGATCATCAGATTGGGCCACAGCAACGCATGGCAGGGGATAGCTAGTTTTATATAAAGAGAACCATTTTGCTTCACTATTGTATATAATGAGATGTGAGCATCCATGGAATTGGGTATCCAAGGGGAGGGGTGTAGTTCCTTTGGGGAAAATAATATAGGCTTTCTCTGAGCATGTAAATCAGTTTTATATGTAATCAAGTTTACCTCTAGGGTGAGCTACTCAGTAAGTTTTGATGAATAGGTGCTGTTACCGCACTAACTGTCCCTCTCTCTGTGTTTCTTATTTGATGTCTTAGGTATTTAATGAACGCTGCAGAGCTCATTATAAACCACCGAAGAGTCAATGATATAAGTGAGGGGAGAGTTTCCCCTGATAGTGGACTTCAGTCATGCCAATAAACTGGAGAAGAATCATGGAGCAAGCTGCAAGGGACCTTTGGAAAACATCTAAATCTGTGGGATTCAGTCTAATGAATGATTTTGCTAATTGGGATTTGTACAAAATTTGTACAAAAACGTCAGAAGGTTAAGAATTTTTTATTAAAAAATCAGAATTATTATTATTATTATCATTATTATTGTTATTATTATCTTTATTTGTACCCCGCTAACATCTCCCGAAGGACTCGGTGTGGCTTACAAAGGCAAAGGCCCTCAATAAAACAATAGCATAACAAATACAACAATAAAACTCATAAAGCAAACCAATAAACATTAAAGCAATAACAATAAAACGTTAAAAACAATACATCATGACACATTTAAAACTAGGGCCGATCCTAATGTAATGACTAAAATTAAAAGTGCTGGACATGACAGGTGAAATGTAAGGATTTTAGGGTAGGTGTGATATGCAGGCAATCTTAAATCTCTAGTAAAGTGCGTTTGGGACATGATGCTGGGAGTTTCCTATTCTGGAAAGGCACACTGGAACAGCCAGGTCTTCAAGCTCTTCCTAAAGACTGCCAACGTTGGGGCTTGTCTGATGTCCTTGGGGAGAGAGTTTCAGAGTCGAGGGGCTACCACAGAGAAGGCCCTGTCCCTCGTCCCCACCAAACGTGCTTGCGACGCAGGTGGGATCATGAGCAGGGCCTCTCCAGATGAACGGAGGAATCGTGTGGGTTCATATACGGAGATGTGGTCATGCAGTTGGCGCACAAGTTTTAATTGTGCGAAGGCCCTCCCGGCCAAGCCCAACAACGCAATACAATAAATGAAATCAAAACACAAACAACATGATAAATTACATAAAACATAAGAATACAACAAATAATATAAAATTACAATAAAATTATTCATAGTGCAGAACAGTGAGTGGGCTGCATGTATAGAATAAAATACTAAGGCTAAAAACACAGGGTGAGACAGCAATGGAACAGATTGTTTGTGAGGGAGAATGGGGTCGAAAAGGACCTTCGTACAGAAGGGGAGGAGGTATGCACTAATGACGGATGTTGAGGGATAACAGCAATATGAGATTATATGGTTAATCTCCAAAAGCACAGTGGAAGAGACAAGTTTTGAGATTTTTCTTAAAACTTTCTAAAGAGGGGGCTCGCTTAATTTCACCAGGCAATGTATTATATAGTCGGGGAGCCACTGAGGCAAAGGCTCTCTCCCTTGTTCCAACAAGGTGGGCCTGAGATAATGGTAGGGTGAAAGGAGAGCCTCCCCCGAGGATCAGAGGGATCGGGCAGGTTCATGGAGATACAGTCACGAAGGTAGGTGGGTCCCAAACCATTTAGGGCTTTATAGGTTTGTTGTTTGTTTGTTTTTTGTCATGTCAGGAGCGACTTGAGAAACTGCAAGTCGCTTCTGGTGTGAGAGAATTGGCCGTCTGCAAGGATGTTGCCCAGGGGACGCCCGGATGATTTGATGTTTTATCATCCTTGTGGGAGGCTTCTCTCCTGTCCCCGCATGAGGAGCTGGAGTTGATAGAGGGAGCTCATCCACCTCTCCCCGGATTCAAACCTGCGACCTGTCGGTCTTCAGTCCTGCCAGCACAGGGGTTTAACCCACTGCGCCACCGAGAGCTCCTTTATAGGTGATGACCTGTACCTTGAATTGGGACCGGAAAATAAACATCAGTCAATGGAGCTTAAACAGTGGGTTGACCGCTCCCTGTAATTCGCCCCGTTATTAATCTGGCCGCCGAACATTGGACAAGTTGTAGTTTCCGGACCGTCTTCAAGGGTAGCCTCACGTAGAGCGCATTGCAGTAATCCAATCTAGAGGTAACTACGGCATGGATGGTTCACAAAGAATCATAGAATGGGAAGTGACAATAACCATCCAGTCCAACCCCCTTCCATGCAATCAAAGCACCTCCAACAGATGGCCATCTAGCCTTTGCTTAACCACCAGTGAAGACCATGCTCAGAGGCAGCCTATTCCACTGTCAAACAGCTCTTACCACCCACTGTCAAACAGTTATTCCTAATGTTGAGATGGAATCTTTTTACCTGCAGTTTGAATCCATTGTTCCATTTACTAGTCTCCAGAGCAGCAGAAAAAACAAACTTGGCCCATCCTCAATGTGTCACCCTTTCAAATGTATGATGTCCGCTCTCAGCCTTCTTTTCCCCGAGCTTAAATATATTCAGCTCCCTCAGATGTTCCTCATCAGGCTCGGCCTCCAGACCTTTGACCATTTTGGTTTCCTTTCTCTAGACATCTTCCATCTTGCCAATATCCTTGAATTGTGGTGCCCAGAACTGGACACAGTATTGCAGATGAGGTCTGACCAAAGCAGAATAGAGTGGGACTATGACTTCCCTTAGTCTAGTTCAGGCCTATACAACTTGGTTGTTGCGAAAGGCCAATATTAAATGGCCTTCTGTAGGCCACGTCTCTCCTTGCTTTGCCTAGCAAGGAAGGGGGGCAGAGGAAGGGCCTAGCCGCAAAGTGGGTGCCCAGCTCCTTCCATGGCATGCAGAGAAAACTTGTTGGCCATGGACCGGATTCTTGTGCAGGCCTAGTCTAGTAGTTGCCACATCACACTTGACTTATGTTCAGTTTGTGGTCTACTAAGACCCCTGATCCTAAGATCCCTTTCACATACCAGGTGTCACCCATCCTATATCCATGAATTTCATTTTAAATCTACCGGTAATATAGATTTCATACATATAAAGGTAAAGCAGAGAGCAAAGGATATAAGATAGTCAAAGAATTACAAGAAAGGATACATTTTATTAAAGGGTTGGGAAACAATGTCCTCAGATGAGATTCTCTGCTGCAGATCTGGTCCGCGTGTGCGCTGATGCATATCTGCAGGCCTTGAAATAAAACAAAACCAAAATACACTTAAGGGTTGTGGCTGCTGGCCTGTCCACTGGACTGCGTTATCTTTGTGCCGCAGGAGTCTTGTGGAGAAGGGGAAAAAATAATTTATTTTGTTGTCCTTTGTTGTTCATTCATTCAGTCGTCTCCGACTCTTTGTGACCTCACGGACCAGCCCACGCCAGAGCTCCCTGTCGGCCGTCACCACCCCCAGCTCCTTCAAGCTCAGTCCAGTCACTTCAAGGATGCCATCCATCCATCTTGCCCTTGGTCGGCCCCTCTTCCTTTTGCCTTCCACTTTCCCCAGCATAATTGTCTTCTCTAGGCTTTGCTGTCTCCTCATGATGTGGCCAAAGTACTTCAACTTTGTCTCTAGTATCCTTCCCTCCAATGAGCAGTCGGGCTTTATTTCCTGGAGGATGGACTGGTTGGATCTTCTCGCAGTCCAAGGCACTCCCAGAACTTTCCTCCAACACCACAGTTCAAAAGCATCTATCTTCCTTCGCTCAGCCTTCCCTAAGGTCCAGCTCTCACATCCGTAGGTGACTACAGGGAATACCATGGCTTTGACTATGTGGATCTTTGTTGCCAGTGTGATGTCTCTGCTCTTTACTATTTTATTGAGATTGGACATTGCTCTCCTCCCAAGAAGTAAGTGTCTTCTGATATCCTGGCCACAGTCTGCATCTGCAGTAATCTTTGCACCTAGAAATACAAAGTCTGTCACGGCCTCCACGTTTTCTCCCTCTATTTTCCAGTTGTCAATCATTCTTGTTGCCATAATCTTGTTTTTTTTATGTTAGCTGCAACCCGGCTTTTGCGCTTTCTTCTTTCACCTTGATTAGAAGGCTCCTCAGCTCCTCCTCGCTTTCAGCCATCAGAGTGGTGTCATCTGCATATCTGAGGTTGTTAATGTTTCTTCCAGCAATTTTCACCCCAGCTTTGGTGTCCGTGGAGAACTATAATTCATCAGAGTATGGGGTACTGTGTTTGATAAGTACATTCTGTGGCGGGGCTTCGTAGGAGAGATTTGCAGTGGAATATGGTTCCACGGTGGCCTGGGAGTCCGGTAAAGTCTCCTTCTTGGAGGGTTTCTAAGCACAGGCTGGAAGGGCCTCTTGTCAGGAGGGATTGGATGGTGTCTTCCTGCCTGTCAGCAGAAGGGGGTTGGACTGAGGCGGTTCTTGGGGCCTCTCCCAACTCGAAGGTCTTTTCATGGCTGAGGCCTCTTTCCCAACACTGGCCTCACTGGACCCCTCTCCAATGCAGTCACCTCCTGAAACACACTTTCCAAGGGAAGCATCCTATTCCTCTGTTGAGCGGCTCTTACTGCCAATCGGTTTCTCTGATTCTTCAGGCGGAATCTCTTTTCCTGCCAATTGAATCCCTTGCTCTGTTGTGTCCCAGTCTCCTCAATGGGGCCTCCCTTAGTATGTTGAAACATGGCTCCAATGACCCTTCTCTCGGCCTCCTCTTCTTCAAGCGAAATGTACTCATCGGCTCCTCAGAGGGATTCATGACTTCTGGACCTTTGAACCTTTTGGTGGCCCTTCCTTCTCTGGACCCTTCCGCCTGTCCCTCTCCTTCTTGGATTGGGGTCTCTAGTAATGGACACAGGATGATCCCAGGTGAGTTTCTGACCAAAGTAAAACAGAATGGGGCTGTGACTCCCCTCCATCGAGACACCAGACTGTGACTGATGCAGCCTAGAATCACATTGGCCTCTTTTGCTGCAGCTTCACACTCTTGACACATTTTCCGATTGCAGACTACTAAGAACAGGATTCGCTATTATCCACACTTTTGGATTTCCACAAGGAGCAGTTCCCCCAGGAAAGCATTTGAAAACACACAAACACACACTCACACAAATAGTTGTTCTTGAAGAAATATAACAAATTTTATTGTCACAGCCATGCCATCATAGTCACAATATGATCTTAACTAGACACACACATTTGCACCAACTATGGTCCCTTCCACACTGCCCCTTATCCTAGGATATGATCCCAGATTATCTTCTTATCCTGGATTATCTGCCAGTGTAGACTCATATAATCCACTTTAAAGCAGACAATCTGGGATTGGATCCTGGGATAGAGGGCAGTGTAGATCCAGTCTACATGGCAGCATTGTCACCTTCTCTCACTTCTTCCTCTTAGGCCCCGTCTACACTGCCACAGAATCCATTTTGAAGTGCAGTTAATCAGAATTCTGGAACTGGATTATATGGCAGTGCAAATGAGGTTTATGGCTCCATCTCACACTGCCCATTT